TATAATTCGTGTGTAATATTATTATGTTTTGATGTAAATATAATATATAATAAATAAATTGATTTGGATATTATATTTATATATATGGTAATGATTTTTTTGGATGGGTTTATAATAGAGTCGCGGCGGATATTTGATATAGATTTTTATAATAAGATTAGTTATTCGTTTTATATTTTTTGTTATATATGTTTTGTTAAATATGTTTGTTATAGATTTTCGTTATAATTGTAATTTGGCTTGTGTTGAATAGCTTGAATTAAGGGAATATATTTTGTATATTAGATTTTGTTATATTGTTATATGGTTGTTATTTGTTTCGTTATAGATTTAATTTTAGTTTGGGTTGATGATTTTGTTATTTGTTATAATTTGGTTTATATTGAATAAAATTATAGAAATATATTTTATATATTATATTTTATTTTGGTTTAATATAAAATTTATTATATAATTATAATTAAATTGGAATTACGAAGGAATTATGTATTGTTTTGTTATAGATTTTATTATATAATTATTATATATTTCGTTATATTATATTATAACGATTTACTAATGCATGAGAGATACGATCTCGAGGCTATATTGTTTTATAAAAAAATATATTTAAATAAATATAATTATTGAATTAAGAATTTAAATAAATTCAAACAAATTTATATAAATTTTTATTATAAATTTAACTAAATATATATATAGCGAAAAAAAATATATAAATCTATAAATAAAAAAAATATATATTTCTTAATAATTAAATTAAAAACACAATATAATATACGATTATATTTGTGTCGTTTTTTTTTTTTTTAAACATAAATTTTTACTTCTTCGAAATTTGGCCCGGTAATTGTCTTGGAAAGCCGCTAAATTCTGAAGAAATTTACAAAGGCGTCCGGAAATATCGCCGAAAACAAACCAAAATTCGGAAAATTTAATCGGATTACGCCGCACGAATTCTAAGCAAAATTATTAAAAACCTCCCGAAATTTCGGAGCCTTCCGGGAAAATTTGGGGACTCTCCGTATTTTTGCCTCCCCCTGTGTATCCCAATTTGTTTTTTTTTGGTGTTTGTGTTTCTTTGTCTCTATCTTTTTGTTTGTGTCTCTCTATTTCTCGGGCTGTCTCGGGCTGTCTCGGGTTGTTTCGGTTGTTTTTGTTTGACTTTATGTGTCCGTGTCTGTTGTTCGTCTTTGTTTCTTTGCGTCTTTTTGTGTTTCTCTATCTATTTCCGTGTGTCCGTGTTTATTTATTTTGGTAATATTTATCTTTATTTGGTTTTATTTTTATTTTTTGTCTGTTTATATTTGTTTATGTTGTCGAATGCCGCATCTCCCTCCTTTTAAGTTTCGTTTGTTTTTTGTTGATTTATCTTTGTTTTTTAATTTTTGATTATTGTTATTATTATTTTTGTTTCTTTGTTTGCCTGCTTGTTTGCTTGCCTGCTTGCCTGTTTGCCTGCTTGCCTGCTTGCCTGCTTGCCTTCTTACCTGCTTGCCTGTTTGCCTGCTTGCTTGCTTGCCTGCTTGCCTGCTTACCTCTTTCTCTCTCTCTCTCTCTCTCTCTCTCTTTTTTTCTCTCTCTTTTTCTCTCTAGTTCTCTTTCTTTTTCTCTCTCTTTTTCTTTCTCTTTCCCTCTCTCTTTCTCTTTCTTTCTTTGTTTGTCTTTCTTTTTCTTTCTTTTTTTATTTTCTTTGCTTTCAAAGAGAGAGAGAAAGAGAAAGCAAGATAGAGAGAAAGAGAAAGAGAAAGAAAATAAAAAATGTTGTTTTTTCTTTATTTTTTTTTTTTCTTTGGTGTTGTTTTATCGCCTATAGGATGAGGAATAGTTTGCTTAGGTCTTGTTGGAGTATCGATTGGTGTCTTTTTTTTGGCCGGAGACATTTTCGGGAAATTATCGATTTTACCTCGGATATGTCCGCTAGTAAGAATTATTTTTGCTATGGATGTCTTTATTTCTCTCTTTTTTCTTTTTCTTTTTTTCTATTTTCTTTTTCTTTATCTTTTTCTGGTGTTTGTTAATTCTTTTTCTTTTTTTCTTCTCTTTTTTTTAAGAAATGTTTTTTGGTTTTTCTTTTTTCTTTTTCTTTTTGTTTTGTATTGTGTTTTTTAATTTTCCTTTTTGTTTTAATGTTTTTTTTTTGTGTTATTTGTTTTGTTTGTAAATATTTTTGTTGTCTATTTGTTTCTTGTGTTTTTATTGATATTGTTAATAATGGAATTAATGTTTTTTGTTATATTATATATTATTAAAATCAAATTTATATATTATTAAAGAATATTAGTTAATATATAATATAATAAATAATTTTGCTTAAAATTTTAAATTGAGATATTCGAGGATATTAATGATAAAATACAGGCGGGAGATAACGATTATATTATCTCGTTCCGAAAACGAGGCTTAAACTAAATACACATCAAAAAAGATCGAGAATTTCGATCCTAAAAAATAAACTCAGGTGATATGCTTAACAATATACGGGTTTTTTTAGCGCTCGTACCACCCCATAGCCCTTGTAGAACCTCGTCAAACCCTGATTAAACCCTCATGGAAATCCTGATGGAACCCTAATGGAATCCTAATAGAACCCTTGTGGAATCTAGAAACCCGCAGCCCTTAAGGCCGCCCCGGACCACTCCGGAGCCTATTTGGGCTGAGACCGCAAAATTTTTATCTCTTGGGATTTCTTTGTGTTATTTTTTATAATTTAAAGAATAATAATTCTACCAAAAACATATTAAATGAAATAATCATAAAGAATATTATTATTTATTAAAAATAATCGAAAACAAAACTAAGGTAACTAATCTATTATTTTTGGAGCATGTTTTTAAACTCACTTATATATATAATTAAATGCCGTCTCATATGCCAAATAATGATTTCTCTAAAATTCAAATGAGATTCGGGTTATAAATTAGGTGTATATAATTCCAAAATATAGATTTTTTTGTTGTTGTTTTTTTCCATCCATAATACGAATAAGGAATTCATAATTAATGTTTTGAATTATATATCGACTCCATACATCATCATAAATATATTTATGTTCGACATATTAGTATGCTTTTACAAGTAATTCCTATATCATCATTTCCAAGCTTTAGATTATTATAAAATTTTTGTTTGGGTCTTTTGCCTTTATACATACCATTCAATAAGTGCAAATTTATATCTTACCCAATCCAATTCCAACCTTAGCCCCAATCATTAACCTTTTCACAATAAACACAAATAATCAAACAATACCAAATAAATAACAACAAACAAATAACAATAAACAAATAACAATCAACAAATAAATATATATATAAAATAATAATTAATATATAAAACAAAAATAAACAAAGAAATAGAGAAACATCAAAACTTTAAAAATAAAAATAAAATAAAAATTTAAAAAAAAATAAAACATATAAAAAACCAAAATTCAAAATCACAAAACTAAACAAACAAAAAGACACACACACACACAAAAACACAAAAAACAATAATATACAAATAAAAAATATCAAAAACACAATCTTAAAAACAAATCGAATCAACAAACTTTCCAAATCTTCAAACAATTCAAAACATTATTTCTTCGGAAATTTACAATCTAGAAATATATAATTCGATTCGCCAACAACAACCAAAAATTCGGCAACCCATAACCAATTTACACCACGAAAATTCTAAACAAAAATATCCATAAATAAAAACGAATCCAAAATCCTCGCATCCCAATTTTCGGCAAAATTTCGAGACTTTCCAAACCGCTAAAAGAAATACAATCCCAATGCCATATCGAAATATAAATATATTTAAATATATATGTTGTTTTAAAAAAAGAAACATATTTATATAATATAGAAATTAAATATGTATTTATTATTATTATATAAATATAAAATTAAATATATTCAAATACTATTTCTTTATTATAATTAATATTAAATAAATAATACCAATTTTAATATATCCTTTCTTTATTTAATATTTCTTATATAATATGTTTAATGATTTTTTATATTATTTCTATATTATGTTCAAATATACAAAAATAAAAGAAAGTAGAAGCCAAATTTTGAAGCCAGAGTCAGTTTTGTCTGCAGCGTTTTCGCAGCAGGCTCTCTCACAAAGGCATCAAGAGGCGCCGTGCGGGTTGCCTTGTTAACTGCCTTCCATTCCAGCGCGGGCGGAATTCCGGCGTCGCTGTAATGCCGCAGCTTTTTTGCGCGCGTTACAAATCCGGCCCAGGCCACCTTCAAGAGGCTGAATGGCTGTTAGATCATTCACGCTGTGCACTGAAGTCATCAGCTTCACCCGCATCATTTGCCCCTGTGGTTTGCTTGCGTCGGCCGTGAGATCTGTCCAGTATGACAACATTCTGTCACGTCTGCAGGTCTGCCAGGCTGATCGTTGGGCGAACTTGTGAAACGGTGCTGCCTGAGTAAGCGGCTGTGTGCGCGCGCGGAGCCGTGGGTGGCCCGCTCAGCTGAGGTGACTGGTTTTCTCTTTTGTCTTGCCTTGCCTTCCTGCTGCCGAATCTGCCAGTTGGTGTGCCGCCGCAGCTGGTTGTGCATCAGCATCAGCATCTTCAATAAACACAATCTTGAAACACAACCGCTTCTCACCAACCAACTTCAAAACTAAACCGCAAATCTGTCCTGCGCATGTGTGTCGCACATGTTTTGTCCCATCTCGAGCCAATATCAGAATGCCAATATCGTCAAAGTGATGCCATTTGAAGACGGTGGCCTGCAGGATTGGTCTCAATGTCTCTTGTTGCGTGTGCCCAAACTCGCAACGCCACACGTTGCCACCTCCCAAGGCATTTTCAAGGAGGCGAAATCCGCGACCTTGGCAACACAAACGTCTGACAAGCTGCGGGGCTTGTGGCTGAGTGAGCCGCAGCTTGTCCGCAAGGGGCTGCCACTCGCCTCAGGATGAAACGAGAGTTGGGCCCTTCACGGGGCAGCCGCGCCTGCCGTTCTCTCTGCACGCCTGCTCCCTCAAAGCCGCCCTGGAAAGTCAACGCAAAACGTATGGGGAGGATTCGAATGGAGTGGTCAACAAGGGGCCCTTTTCCTTTGGCGGCCCTGGGCACCCGTCCAAGCCATCTTTTTCACAAAGCGTGTGACGACTCAGCCCTGGGCAGGCTGGAACGTCAATACAAAAGACACCGCGATCAAAATCCCGTACCCCAGTGAAAATCCAAATCCCCACTAAAATAGACCAAAATGGCTGGTACACCTATTTCAAGATGGTCATTGGTTTTGACCCACAGCCATTTCTGCCTCGCAAGCATTCTTCTGCCAGACGTGGCCTGACATGAAGGGACTTGCTTGGCGCAAGCGATTGCATTGCAGGCGAGTCCTCCTCGTCAAAGGAGGCCTGTCCAGCTAAATTCAGATGCGTGGCATTGGGTTGCTCTCAACGTTTTCCCTATGTCTACCAAAATAACAACTTGCTCCCGGCGCATCACACACCAAGTACAACTCATCCCAACGTTGGAACTTTTTTTTGGGGGAGAACAACCGTGTCAAGATCCTCCCGAGGCCAGGATATTTGAGGGCATTGATATTGGAGTGATCAAAAGGCGGCCTTGAAAGCTTCTGCTTCGAAGAAGGCCAGCAGCAAACCCGTAGAATTGGAATCGTAGGACCTCAAGGTCAGGCCGGCCACAGCTGATCAATTCTTTCAAAGTCGTTCAGCCTCAGTGGGTGTGCTTTCCAATAGGAGAACCCCCCATGGTGGGGCGTTCCCTTCGGTTCGGTTTCTCTTTGAAACAAAACAACAGGGGTACCCTCAAAAAGAGACACGCTCAAATAACACGCCGCAAGCGAGCGGCCGTAAGCATTCCCAGCTTGTGTGCAACTCTTCCAGCCTCAGCAGTGTGTCTGGGGCATGGAGCAATGCAAGGACAGAATAGGAAACGCGGACTTCCACACAGACAACACCTCGTACTCTCCGAGCCACTGGCAAGGCACAGTACGCCTGCTCGTCGCCAAGCCTGCATCGCATTGCCAGACCACATGGCGATTTTCTCGAACATGAGGACCCCAAAGCTGGGTCCCGAGCTGGCATCTGGTGGTTTCCATGTCCAGCATCACGGCTTGCGGCGCCTGCGCCTGACACTCGCCCGCTGCAAAAAGAACCAAGATGCTGCCACTGGCCTCCTTCGCACGCGTCATCCGCTGGAACACTGATTGCCTGTCGCTTGGTAAAGCGACACAAACATTCTCAACTCAAAGGGGCTGCCAAACAACCGTGCGCCCAACGGAGCTCCGGCCGCCGGCGTCGTCTCCAACCTGAGGCAAACGGCATCCAGTACACTTGCTTCATTAATTTTGCTGCCGATGTACACTAGCCTCAAGACAGCATTGGACATGATCTAATGTGAATACTCTGATATGCAAAGTTGTGGTGGGAATTGGGGTTGGAGTGAGTCAGGCTCGCTACGGGGGGGGGGGGTTGCGTTTGGCTTCAAGCCGGTTTAAGGTGAGCTATATTCTGAGTTTGGGTTGGGTAGGCTTAGGGCTAGTTTCATTCAGGTCGAGTTTGCGATGGGTTTGGTTGGCATCAGGGTTGGTTTGAGAATAGGCTTAAGTCTAACCTTGAACAGGCTGGGTTGAAAGGCTGGGTTGGGTTTAAGGTAATCAAAGGTCAGGGTGGTTGGCTTGACGTTCGTCAGTTTGAGGCTCGTCAGTTTGAGGCGGGCTTACAATTGGTGTCAACGTTGGTTTGTAGATTTGGCCAGTTGGATTTAAAACGGGCTGGGGTGGGCTTGACAAATCTATTGGTTTGGGTGTGTGTTTTCTTGGTTGTAAGTTGGTACCATGTTGGGTGGCTGCGTTTATGGTTAGTGGGTGGGAGGGAAGGGGGATGTATTGGCTGGAGCTGTCTTGGCTTCTGGGTGAAGGCTTGCCTCACTGGTCGACTTCGGATTTATCATGATTTCTATCATTCAGGTGGACTTGGATCGGTTTCGGCGCGGGCGACTTTCAAGGCATTGGGCCCGAAAGGTTCGCGGCATTCGGGGCCAGGGGCTTTGCGGCTGATTCGAGCGCTTGGCCTTCTTCCTGCTTCTTGGCTTAGGCTTTCAGCTAGGTTTAGGGTTTAGCAGAATTCGGGTGTGGGCTGGTTCATGGAGCTGGAAAAGAAGAAGCAAGAAACACACACACACACACAAAAGGCACAACAACAAGAACACCGTTGAGAAACACAAGAACAACAGCAGAAACGTCGTTTGCGAACCACAGATGACTTTGAACTTGTTCCCGTAAGCACTGGCGGTCCCATCTATTTTTTGTTGGTGGGCGTCCTCTGACTAGCGTCTTCCGGATACATCCAAAAAAGCAACCTTATTGACTGCGACTTGCGCTGCGCAAATGATTTCGCCCGGAAGAAACGGGGAAAAGCTAACTTAGCTGCGCACCACCAATGTTGTTCCAAGCACGACCTTGCAGCCGCTCGAAGGGGCTGCGATCGGACGCGAAACCAATACTTGCATATGACATTATGAGGGTTTCTCAAAGATGTGGTCCCCCCAAAAATGGCCACCACAAATCCCATTTCCACACCAACTCTTCCTTGCGCTTTCAAGTACATGGCCGGCTTCGGCTTCCTTTTGGTCTCCCTTTCAAATACCAACACTGGAGTGCTGCGAAAGCCAGAGCTTCTCACCTTCCACCAGGCTCCCCAGGCCTTTGGACCTGCGGCGAACACCGGGCAATGGCTTGAAACAACTAGCTGTGGGCCAAAAAAATGCCTACCCAACATGGGACCCTGGTAAATGGAACCAAAGACTGACACATGCGGCTTGGTGGCTTTGTTTTGACCCATGCCCAACTTGGCTTTATTTTGACCCTTCAGGAAAATCGGGGGGGGGCTTGGCCAACTCTGCAACGCCTCGAAATATTCCCCCCTCTTTTGGGCCCCGGGCAAGCACTCGGGAGCCCCCCAACTTCAGCAAACGCTCCGCCACCTGGCCCGGATCCGCTTGAGCCACTTAGCTTTTGGAGGCTCGACACTTTGGAACACCGAAACCCTTCTTGGGGCCTCCCTAAGTTAACACGCACACACACACACACACACACACCCACTTGGCCAATCAAATGACGTGCCTGCCAGGCTGTGGCAGACTCTGCCATGATACCGGCCATATCAGTGGCAGAAGGTGGAACTGGCGCTCGCCTGCAACGCTTTCGCACGGGGCATGCGAGCGCCGACGTCCCGAAGTTCAATGGCTGGTTTCCGCCTGGGCCATTCAACCTGAGGCGCGTCCCCAGCGAGGAAACGCGGGAAAGAAAGACTGAGCTGCTGGCATCTCGGGCGTGAGACTCTGTGCGCTCCTCCCCTTGCGCCACAAAGAAGTGCTCCTTCCCGTGATCAACGTCTAGGATGGTACCTCAGTATGACATAAATGGTGCCGATTGACCGGCCAAACAAAACCAGAAGCTCCTCCTCTATTGAAGGCCCCCCTGGCCCAAAGTCTGCCTTGAAAAAATCAACAACTCCGGGTTGCTTTAAAAGGACAAACAGAAGTAACACCCCAAGCTTGGGAAACCTCTATTTTTCGACACCCCCGAATGAAACGCGGCAAATTCCTCCAAGGGACAAAGCCCCAGGGGCATGCCCAGCACCGAGGTCTGGCAACAGGAAGCAAGCGCAAGCTGCAAGCTCGAACGTAGGCTATGAACTGCAGCATCAAACTTCTGCCTGCCCAACAATTAGACACATTCCTTCAAAGATGGGGGGACACATCCTGTATAGCATGGGGGCTCTGAAGAGGGGTCTGTGGGCTTTTCAGCTTTCCTTTCACGGACAGAAGAAAAAACCACCAACTTGAAAACCCAAAGACCTGGCAAGCCGCCTCCATGGCCACGGAATCGTGGCACTTGGCCTCGTAGTAGGGCTTCTTGTCCCCGTTGAAGTGCCACTGAGAGATCAAAGTCACAGTCAAACCTCCCAACACGTGGGCCGTGAGGCTTGCCTTGAAAACAAAATGGAACATAGTATTCTTAGTCCCCTTTTTTCCTGGACTTCATGTTTTTGACAAGACCATTTTTGGTGGGGGAAAAAACACGTTGGGACTTGTTTTGGCCACTCAGGAACCCAGCAAGAGAGTTTATTTTGAGTGTGGAAAACCTGAGGCCTAGTCTGAGGGTTTTCTTTGTATCTGGGACTCAGCGCAAGGCCACGAGGGGCGGTGGGCGATCCTTTCGCAGAAAAGCCTGCGACTGGGCCATCGACTGGGCCATCCCTGGCACCCCAAAAAAGGGCCCCTCAAAAAAAGACACGCCCAGACTGGGCGTGTCTGTTTTTGAGGGTGCCCATTTTGGGGTCGCTCTAAAAGGAACCAACTGAAAACCACACCGTCTTTTTTTTTGGGGGGGGGCTCACCATTTGTAGACAAGCCCGAGTACTGGGAATGCTCAAACTTCCAACTTCCGACTCGGTTTCACGCCTTGAATCGATCAGAGCTCCATTTGCTTCGCTTTCTCTGCCTTTCGCGGGACATCGCGAAATCACAAAATTGCCGGCCTCTGGAAACTCCGACACGCAATCTCGTCAAAACCGGCGGCTATGAGGATATGTGTCAAAATAGGGATTTGAGCCCTCAATTGCGTTCTCTTCCCTTCAAAGCTTGGCCAAAGGTGATGGCCAGTAAGCCCCTCGCAGCAAAAACGCACTCAGGCAACCACGCTGCCAAGAAGAAGCCATGGTCCTGCATTAATGTGGACCGATCGCCGTGTGCTTTGTCCATTCTCTTCATGTTTCCTAGGTCCTCCTGTAGAGAGGTTCGAATACGGGTACCCTTTTTTCTGTAGTCTGGGGAACCCTCCCCCTTGTTTGTTGCGAGTGCAACGCTTTTTGGCGAGGGGCTGAAGAGAAAAGGAAACTCCACAGCTATTGCGCTACATGAGTTCAAGCCAAGGTCCAGGCGACTTTGCCTTGAAAGTTGCACGCCTCGATTCCAGAGAGACTTTTGGGCTCCTTGAACGATTACGCATACGTGGACAGTATGCGTGCGTCTCGCCTACACACAAAAACAACACAAAACTTTTGGAGGCAACGCATGTCTCAAACTCTGTTTTCTTCGCACCATTTCCTCGGAGAAAAAAAGAAGAAAAACACAAATCGCCCAACGCCTCGCGAGAACCGAGGCTCTGGCGGGTGGGGCGCGCAAGCGCCGCGCCACAAGCTCAGGAGAGAGCCCGTGCAACGAGGCGAACAGCTCTCCTGTATGGTCCTGGCGCGGGCGCTTCTTCTGAACTTACTGGCCGTTTCAAATCCAGGGGAACACGTAGGGAAAAACTCAAAAACGTGTACCAAAATGGCCCCTTGTTAAATGGAAACGAAGACTAAAACCTGCGTAGCCCTAGTTGTTGAATTTTGAGCCACACCCATGTAGGGAACCCAGGACATCTCCTGGATGTAGGGAACATGTAGGGAACCCCAGTTCAGTAAATTTCCTGCGAACCTCACTTGAACACATGCCGGGGGCGCCACTCTGAGCGGCACCTGCAGCAAGTCCAAACCCCTTCTGAAGTTCTGCTCTGGTTCGGACACCCCTCAAGCTCCACTCACATAGAAAGACCTCACAAATGCCTGGCTGTTGGCTTCAAATCCAATGGTTTACACTCCAAACAGCACGAGGCTCTTGTCACCGTGACGCCCGGGTGCCAGACCCAAGGCCGCTCCAGGAACTTCGCGTGCAGTGCCACGGAGGTCGCCAAGGCCTGCCGCATCGACGATCGAGTGGGCCTTGAGCGACCGACGCCACCTGGTCCGCGAAGTCCCCGAAGAGGCGAAGGACTTCGGTGGCTAAGGAGAACAACGCGCGCAAGCTCCCGGCCTCAGTCCGAGAAATTCAATTATGGAAATCAAAAGGGCATCTAGGTGTGTGCGTGAGTGTGTGTGTGTGTGTGGTCAACCACTCTTGTTGAATGGCTTCCCAGAGTTCCGAATTATTTGTGCACAGGAGGGGACTGCGAAGATCTGAGAGCCTTGCTCTTCCCATGAAGACGCCGCTGTTCAGAAATGGCAAAAACAGTGGCAAGACCTGCGCGGCTGCACATCGACGTAAAGAGGCAAGCAGCTCAAACCCCGCCTCCGACCGATTATTCCCATAGCGGCCATTCACAAGGCCGGGATGGCCAATGTGTTGTCTCCAATACTCGCACACCTGTTTGGCCAAGAAAAATCCGCATCACACGCCCCGTGTAAGAAACAATGCACCTGATCGCCACGCAACTTTTTGCGGCCACCATAATTGTAGACATAGCCGGGGCGAAAGTCACCAGACCTCGGGCTCACGGCTCTCAGAGCCCCGCGATTCGCGATTTGCCACCCGAGGCAAAAAACGTAGAGAGCCCCGCGCGAAAGGCTCAGACTTCCAAACGTGGGGAAATGGCCAGCCTCAGCCACGCAATGCGCAGCGCACAAGCAAGTGGCGCAAGCTTCTATATTGATTGCGATCAAGTAGTTCAAGTGGTAAAATTATGCAATGAGCGATTAAGTGCTTCACACAACAGGGTCTTTAAAGGGATTTGACCCGACCTCAAGGCGTACCTTTTCAGCTTGGGCAAAAAGTACAAGCGTCGGCAGGACATCTCAATGAAAAAGCAAAGCAACTTCCCGTGGCATGGAGGGCCCGCAGAGTCCTTAGAAGTGCATGCTAAAACACACATGGGGTTCAATTGGGTGTGAATCTTAATTGGGGTGGACATCATTTGCAGGATTTAGGTCCAGCAGCCACTTTTGAGGGGGTTCCCAATTTAAATTCATTACCAATTTATGCTTTCTATGTCTTCTATCACTCCCCGTTGGCCACGTGCCAAACGCGGCCCGTCGCTCAGGCCTCAGCAATTGGCTTCTCCACTGAAGATCACGGGGCCCGTAGGCACGCTCATGACAGGCCTGAGCCACGCCGAAACGCATGGGGGCTACAACCCGCTACACAGGAAAACTGAACCTGGGCTGCCCTCAGATCCCCTGCTAAAATTTTAACATTTTGTGTGTCAAGTGGAAACTGCCACTAAACACCAAAGGGCTAAAAAGCTAAGGAATCGGATGGCTGGGAGCCACCAAGGAGCCATTGGGGATACTTAAGGGACCAGAGAAATATCCTCCATGCCAACTAATTAGGGCCCGCTGTCACGCTGCCCCCGACATAGCGTTGGGGGCCCTGGAATTGCGCAATGTCCTGTTCCTTCCCCTCGCAGCACATCTGACGTCCTGCAATTTGGCAACCTGTCCCACTTCTATGGGTTCCGTCTCCGAATTGAGAACCTGTTGTGCCGTGTCCCCAAAGGTAAAAACAAAATGACACCAACGAATCTTGTGTGGGTCAAACAAAGACAAACGGGGGCCTCAAAACGAATTCTGAGGATACCCTCGCAAGTGGTTGGGCATCCATCCCCGCCCAAATGATGTTCACCAAAGGGTTTCTCAGTTAAAAACTCCCCCCCACCCAAATCGTTGAGTAGCAATCACATAGCACACCCAACCAATAGGCACAGGCACACATGCACATGTGCGTGGAACTCTCAACCAGGAACTGGGTGGGACATCCACATTTGGGGTGCTAACGTTAATTCTTGCTGAATCCAATAACGTCTGACTTCACCGCTTCAGCCTGACCAAAGCGGGGGCCCCCGCCCAATTCGCCGCTGCAGCTCTGCGAAGGCAAGTTGGAGATGCTCCAAGCTGGGTGTCTCCAACCTGGCCCGGCTGTGGGTTCCTTACAACCCGCAGGGGACCTTTGGTTGGCGTGCCAGTCGGTGACACGTGAACTGTGGATGGACAAAATCCATTTCGCACTACCTAAGAAACCCTGGAAATGATGATTCCCTTGTAAAAAACAATGAACAACGGCTTCTGTTCTCAAGTGGTGCAGGATTTTGTCCATCCACAGCACAAACCGTTGTGTGCGCCGGATTCCGAATGTATTCCCTTTCAGTTTTTTTCGGGGTGATGTCAAAAGAAAGGAACACAGAAGGAACCTTGAACATGGCGCTCACTCATCTGTAAGGAAATCACAAAAATAAACATCATAGCAGAGCCATGATTATAGCATCATGATGACGACATGTCCATGCCTTTTCCCAAGCATGGCATAAACACTATATATATATATATCAATAGTATTGATGGTGTTTTGGAGCCTGAAGGTCCACCTTTTGGGCTTTCTGCAGGGTCAACTGTTGTGCTGGTGTCAAACCTGAGGCTCTGGCAGCACATCGTAGCCGTCCATGATGAGCAGCCTTCGTGCCAAGGCTTGCGGACAGCAACGTTGCTTGCCTCTCCTTTTGAAACTTAGCTGGCTTAGCTCAGTCCCGAACAACTCGTCATCTTTGAACTGCTTCAGGTATGGCCAAACCTCATTCCCACAAATCAGCCACCTTCCAGAGTACAATTGACCATTATTGGTGTGGGGGTTCTGGGGTGGCAGTTTGGCTAAACTGAGGCCATACACACAGTTAACCCATTTGGGTTCCTTTCGGATGTGCTCCGTGACTTGGTGCAAGCGACTTTTGGCCCGTTTAGAATCGAAGCGGCTCCGCTGACCTCTACGAACCATCGCTGGCATTCCGCTGGCATGCCAGGATGCCCGCCGCAAAGAACTTCCGCACCTTGCGCAGAACAAGGCGGGTCAACTCCCACTTTTTTTGGAGCCCCCGCAAAAAGGGGTATTGAACCAGGGGATTTTGACACATTTCGATGTTCGTTCGAATTGTATCCTGTCATGCGCATGCTTCCACGCTGCCTTGGCCAAGCCGCGCGATTTCAGGCACTCCTGGACATGAACAAGTACGGATAGCTGCGAAGCCAGATGCATGAGTGCTTCACACGCTCAACCTGTATATCAAGTATTTCAACAAAACCTTCATGCGTCGACCTGCAGCTGCACAGCCTGACTGCAATAACGCTCGGGTCTACCCAATCATCGAACCGCTCTCTTGGGGTCAATGACGCTCGGGTCAAGCGTCTGTTTTTCAACGGTGGGGCAAACCAGCCAAAGTTCAGCACCGGAGACAAGGCATCCCCAGGTAAGGAACCTTCGTCACACATCCCGAGCTCGTGTTGCCCCTGCATTGAGCTCCTGCTGTGTTTGCCCAACAGGAAACAAACACACGCCGACTCACACGTGCTGCTCCTCTTTGGTGGTGCAATGCAGAGTGGCAGCGGCTCTTTGTCCTTCTACCAGCTGCTCCTGACGAGATCACGCGGATAGACCCGTGATCAAACGTGAGAAGCCGAAATGGAAATAAATCTCCCAAGTGATTGACTTTCAGTGGCACATCTCAAATTGCCAGGCAAAGACAAAAAACTAACCAAGGTGGGAAGCCAAAATGGAGTCATCTCCCAAGTCTTAACATCAAACCCGGCAAATCATCCAGTTGGTTCGTTGGCGAACGGCGCTTTCTTCGGTTCCTGGCCCTGTTGCGCCAGGGCCTCCGCGATGCTCTCCAAAGCCTGCCAGTGGCGAGACGAGACGTGGCGGTGGTAGACATACCCCGAGAGCCGGGTGTTCCGTTGGGTCTCCAGCTGAAATTTGCGAATTTCGGGATGGGACTCAACCACTCAACACTGTGCACCACCACCAGCAGCAGGACAGCATACCTCCATAAGTCACCAGTCGCCAACAGCCAAAAACAAATGTCGAAACATCTGTGGTCTGGGCCTCTGGTGGCACTGCTCCGGCGGTGTCCTCAATCAAAACTCAGCCAGCGCCCTTGCGGTGGCCATTGGAATCTCTCCCGTTGGAATATCCACCAAAACACCGATGGGTCAGAGATCGACACTGCCATGGAATCTGCGGGAATCTCTGGGAAGAGGCGCAACTTTCCGGAGACTGCAACATTCAAAGGCTCGACGCCGCGTGCGACACCATCTTTCTGAGATGGCGACACCATAGTTCAGCCCAATCTGAGCTTTGCGCAGCAGAAAATCACGGGCTTAGCGGATGGCCTTCCCCACCCAAACTGAGAAAACTGCAAAAGACCGTCCCCAAGGCGATGTAGACGGAAATTGTAGAAATAGAAGAACCCCTCCCAACCCCAAAACATAAAGCTCCACATCATAAGGTGTCTGTTCCTGTCAAACATGGGTTTCCGTTTGGCTTCCCTTTGAACCAACCTGAAAAACGCAGCGAGCTAACCCGAGGGCGCCGCTACGTTCAGCTTGCCCCCCGCCGCCGCAACGGAGGAGGCCAAGGTGCAAAGATTCGGATGCGCCGAGTCCTCAGCACAGGACCCTTGGGGTCGGCTTTAAAGGGATAACAGAAACTCCACGACTTTTGGGGGGGCCTCCTGTTCAGTGTGAAACAGAACCATACCTGATCATCCCTACCAAAGCCCACCTTGGGGCACCAAAAGGACCATGACATGCTTTACACCGCCAAAACGGGAAATGCCCGTCTCTCCTACAAACAAAATGGCCGCAAAAGGGGCAGGATCGCATCCGAAGCCAGTGGCTTGGCCCCAAAACCAACGTCCAACTCGGTGAGTGAACTGACTAGAAACCACTAGAAACCACTAGAAATGAAATCCTGGTAATAGGGATCCCCATTAAACTGATAAAGATCCCTAAGGAATGAAACCTAGGATCCCTATGGGTTTAATTTCCAGGGTCATTTGGGGTTTGGTCAGGTCCTTTCCATTTATCAGGGTTCCATTTTGGGCACACATTTTGACCAACCAACCAAGTCGCAGTCACGTGCTGAGTCGCGGGCCGCAAAGGCGAAGACGTGAACCGCAAGGGCCATGGGTGGATCATCGCTGGGGCTGCGGGGATGGGGGCGACTTGAGGCAGCTTCAGGGGTGAAAATGCGGAATGCCCGAAAGAGATGCTGGGATTCGCTGCTGGCTTTGCAAGCACCCTCTCGCTGAACCTTCCCCTCGCTCGCCCAGTTCGGGAACAATTCTTGACATCTTCGAGTTGAATTGACTCCAAAAACATCCAAAACCGCAACTCGTCTTCAGCCAAAGGGAACATTGTGCAGCAAAAACTGAATGTCATGGCTGGCACTGCCTTTGCAGTGCTTGAACATCCTCCGCGCGAACCCAATGGGAAGGTGTCCCCTGGCTTCGTAAACCGACCCCAAATGGGCTACCTTGGGCCAAAAAACAAGAAAACCCACTGGACATGTAGGCATATTTTTCAGAGAGCTTCACATCTGAAAGGCGGTGTCTGCTCCAAAACCATCCTTGTGCTCGGGCTGTTCACGAGTGACAAAGAGGCCTTGCTAACCGCCGGAACTTCTCTGTGTGACACGTGCAGTTGCGCCGCATTCGCCAGTTGTCATGTTACGAGCTGCGAATGTTGAATGCCAGTGTTGTTTCCTTGCTTGTTATTCACAACTGGCCAATGCGAGCTCGACATGGAAAACGCTGCCTTGAAATGCAGACATTGCAACTGCTCCCTACGGTGCGAGAGAGATCTCGCAGGCGCGAAACGCATGCCTCAAAAATGAGAAGCAAGTGGTGCACCTAGGGACTATGTACAGCCTGGGGATCTTTGACCCCAACTTTGTATCCTAAACCTCCATTTGCTTAAGTCCCCTGGAAAAAAATAACAATCATTCCAGTAGTGATAGATTCTTTTTAAAACCAACAGGGGAAAACAACAAATATTCTTAGCCAAACAGAAGTAAAGCAGTGGGCGCATGCCGTTTGCCAGGCAGAACTCCAAACATCTTGCGAGGCCATCCGGCGATTCGATTTGTGGCATTGCTGGCGGAGCCGGCGGATTCAGGTCACCTGCCATGCATTGTTCAGCAAACACTTGCAACTGCCCGAGGACAGCCAGTCTTTGTTGATGTTTATTTCCCCCGGGTATTGTGGGTATGTGGTTGGTTTTAGCTAACCGAATAATATCTTCCAAATGTTATTGCTTGGAATGACACACACGCACACACACACACACACTCTGGCAACACATAAGTTGAAGCATGGGTGTATGTGAACATTTCCACTCCGCATATGGTTTCCGAGCTTCTGTTTGGTTCCCCTGTAGACCAACCTGAACACGGTACGCAGGCTCAAAACACGCACACAAACACAGACACACAAACACAAACACACGCACACAGAGACACACACACACACACCACCACATGGAACCTCCACACATATGTGCTTTCGTTTGACTCCCAACACCAGGGCTCCTTCTTGGACATCATTTAATTACATGGGGATGCTTGCCCACCATCCTTCTTAGAAGGCATTGCCCGCCAGCCTGAAGTCGATGCTCGAGGACAACAACTCCTCCTCCAGGATGAAGCGGCCCTCCTGCGAGCCAACCCAAGCTGAAAGCAATCGCTTCAATTCTCAGAGCCCATCCCAAATGGGCCAAAAATAACAAATAAACAACATAAAACGACTGATATATATATATATTAATATATATATATATATGCACATATATATATACACATTATATATATATATATTACAATATTATTGGTTTACTATATACGTACATATGTATACATATACATATACATACGGCAAACCCACGCATTTCTGTTTTACACAGATTTGCTAAATGTTGGCATGTGTATTACCGACACGGAACGAGAGTGACGCGCCTTGTACTTCTGATCTTCTTCAAAGGCCACCTGCCGCACCCCCGGCTTTCACTTGAAAGGCGAAACTGGCAACGGCCCCACCTCGTACTTCCAGCCGACCCGCTCCTGACCTCAACGCCCAGATGCAACCGCAAACCAGTTTCCAATTGTGGGTTTGAACTGGTGGCTTGGTGTTCCAGGGTTTCCCATCTAGGACCCAGTACCCTCCACAAGAACCAGGGCTGCAAATCTCCAAACCACCAATCCAAACCACCAACTAAGAGTTTCCTGAGCAAAATGCGTCTCAAATAAACTGAGGCCGCGACACACCACACAGAACAGGCATCGGATGGTGTGCAAACCTCCGCAAAAACCCGCGGATTGTGTCCAACATTGGACTGTCTCGGCCTGTGGTCATGACGCTGTCTTCCAACGGTCCTGAGCAGCACGTGCAAAGCAATTCGCAATGCAAATCAACATATGGCTCACCTAATGCAAATGTTTTTGTTTGTTTCCAACTCAACATCGCGCGTCAAACATCGATTGGCTTGAAATCGGCTGGATCTCATCGAGCCTGCAGTGACATTGATCACATGGTTGAAAAGTAGGGCGTTGCCAGTCCTGAACATTTTTGGCACTGCCGGCAATTACATCAACTGACACATCAAGCAACACTCCTTCCCCTGAAGTTAGTCGACAGGAGCTCCTTCACACAAACACAACAACTGCAAACATTGGTTTGTGACATGCTTGAACAGGCCTTGTACTGCGCAAAGTGGGCACCACAAGATGCGCAACAATAGACCTCATGCAGCACATGCAGCAATGCAAAAAAAAACCTGCGTGAACCACCAAGGTTTGCACTGGCTCGTCGTCACTGAAAAATCGCTGGAAGAAACGCCCCATGGCGGCGCAAATGCTTGACACTGAATGTGACAAAGGCAACGCATGCACGTACAACATGCAAACTTGTCAGTGTCTGTGCTATCTGGATGGATTGGCACTGAACGAGCCATGGCATATGTTGCTGCAGCACGCTGATTGGGAGCCGGGCGCAATTTGTGGCATGCCCTGCCCCCCCCTTCTTGGAACTGGACCCCCTTTTGGGGGATTCCCTTTCACACAATCAATTCCTTGAGGCGCAAGAAACCGACGTGCGATCCTTTTCAGCACTTGCGGGGTGTCCAACGCATGCAGAAGCTGAACTGTTGGCTGCGTCAGGCTGGCCACTTCGCAAGCGCGCCTGGATCACTCACACACGGCACGGCGATTGCAAGGTTTTGCACGTGGCCTTGGGAAGATAGACGCTTCTGTACCAAAACGGGTATCGCGGTAACTACTTTGTTAGTTTTCCACAGGGAAACCTTAAATGGTTGTGTAACCCTTCCTTTGCGGGCAAGCGACGCCACAGCGGCGTAGCCATCGGCAAGAAATACGGGTGCCTGCGACGTCACAAAGCGTCACAAAGCATCGCAAAGCAACTTGAATCAGAACACTTTCATGCCCATGCCCAGCTTGCCACTTCAGTCACAATCGATCGTAATCCCAGAACCAGGTAAAATATTAAGAGGGCAGCTGCAACTGTCCCCCACTAACCTTCATCTACTTGAAAAACCTCAGACCAAAACTGCAGCTTGTTGATGAAAATTCATCGGGTTTCCTTTGGTTTTTTCTTCAGGTTGCCGATTTTTCACCATCCGCCTTTCAATTTCTCCACCGGGCAAAAACTAGCAGTTCCAATTCGAAGGGAATTTTCGCCACTGCTATCACTTGGGACTGAAGGCCTTCCAGCATAAACCAGCAATTCCCAACTGGTGAAGATCCGCGAACTCTGTCATGCAGACTTTAGGACCCTAACGGGCGGTTGATTTGAAAGGGGTTCCTCATACTTCCAATCACTTACCTAAGATGAGCTTCACCCACCTAAGACATAGAGTTGCACCCCAAAACTTGGTTGACGTTGGAAGGGGAGCGACGAATTTTGGATTTTAGCAGTTACGTGGGGATTTCAACCACTAAACCACACTGAGCAAAATTGCAATATGTTTCCCAACAACACCCAGCCCAAAACTAGGTCCTCCAGACCCTTTTTTGTGTAGATTATTTTAAAATAAGGGAGCCCTCCCCCAAAAAAGGGTAAAAGGGCACTACTGGGGGACCTAGAAAAGGTTCCGCCCTGCAAACGGATCGCGAGGCCTCCAGCTGTTCGAGCAGCTCTGCAGCAGGCTTCCACTGCTGCAGCTGCGTGCAGCTCAGCACAGCCGCCTCGTTTCGTTCGGCTCAGCCGAGCTTTGATAGCCCTCCGGGCTGGAGCAAGGCTGCTTTGTTTCTTTGGAATAGGTAGGTACCAATGCTTTCGCCTTCGAACACGGGTCCCCCTGCTTGATTTGCAAGGTGACTCTCGATTTCTCGGATGGGCTCAGGGTGTAGCCGGGAAATTCATTTAGATGCCCCAGGCAAGCTCGCCTCAAACCGGAATAGAATCCCCAGGTAAGGGATCTTCGACCTGCTTACCTGAATCGGATGGTTCCCCTTTCAGCGGATCAATCCGAAGTTGACGTTTCTGAGGGGATCTCTAGTCCCACTCCGCCATGAAAACCACTAAAATAATTCACTAGCACCTAGCAGAATTTGGGATTGATGTTGAAGCCACACATCGGGGGCCTTTTTAAGAGATGCTCCATGCACGGTTGAAACTTGAAAGGAGGCACCCTAAACCCTAACAGATCGGCATTGAAGAACCCAGTTCGGCCCTACACCAACCGTTCCCCCAAAGTTTCAGGTGGAGGATTTTGGCTCTGAGGGTGGCCCCAAGCCCCAAACTGACCAACCCCACCCAAAATTCCTCATATTTCACCCTTAAAACATCGCTAAAGGGGAACCAATGTCAAGTGGGTTCCAAGAAGGTGGTGTTTCCAAGCAAGGAAAGCATGGGGACCCACACAAACCAGCTGGCGTCCTGCCTGGATGCCCTTGTCTGCTTTTGCGTGGCGTCTGTAGCCCATGTGCCCCATGATCCTGCGCTTACGTACTCGGGTATGCGGGGAGTGCTGGTTTTGGTGCTTGTTGGGCCAACTTTAAAAGCAAGGGGCGAATTTACTCAGATTAGTTTAAACCACGTTGAGTCGTGATAGGAGACGGAGCGCAAGGTGTGCAATTGTTGAGCCCCTTATCTTTCTCACACCCTCTCTCTCTCTCTGCTGTTGCATCCAGAGGGTCTTTGACCCAAGGCAACCAAAACATACCCCCCCCACCCAAAAAAAAAGAAGAAGAAGAAGAAGAGAATAAACAAAAAGCAAGCAAGCAAGCAATCAGCAAAAAAGGATAGCCTCTCGATATCCCGTGGGTGCCTGAGTGCCTGAAGCCACTGACCGCCTTTCTCGCAGGCGTTGAGCAGCGAGTTGAAGGTGATGGTCTTGGCAGCGGTGAATAAAAAACTTCAAACCAAAGCATCCATCTCTTTTCAGGGGATCCCAGGGCTTGCTTCCCTTTCAGAGGATCCCAGGGGATTCCTCTTCAGGGCATCCCCTTCCAATCCATTCACCCCTCTTGCGTTTTTTTGGGAAGCTGCTCGGGCGTCCATGGCCCACAACCCGACTTGCAGCCAAGGGTCTGTCGGACACACACCTGGGTCAAACGTGGTGCCGACAAACCAGGACCCCCCAAACTCCAGCAATATCTTGCGAAGGCTGGCAAGCATATGGACCCTGCCGCCGCCTTCCCTCTGAAGGCGAACCAACAAAGAGCACCTAAATTTTGTCAACACTCGATTCAAATAAGTTTCTCGCCCCTTGTCGCCTTTGAACATTGTCCCGTTTCGATGCATCCCCAAGCAAAGCCCATTCCCACACTCCCAAACATCAAAATACCTCAAAAACATCACCAACGTCTGGGTAAAGGTACCTTCCGGGTGATGTGTGTCCCAGGGAGACATTTCAGTTGGGATCCTCTCTGTGCACCGCCAGCGCTCAACTCCACGGTCCATCACCTGGTTGCCAAGTAGTGAGCTTCCCCTTGGCGATGGCTTGAAGAATAACAGTTGGGCCCACGCAAAGTCAAAGACATGCCCAAACGATTAAAGGGAAACGCCAAATGCAGTTGGCACCCCTCAAACTGCTCACTTTGGCACTTTAGACCCAGAAATGTAGGGAGCCCCTTAGGCCTTTGCATCCAAGCCGCGTTCCAGAGTCAACATGGCCCTGCGCCACCTGCCCGCTGCCGCGCAGGCGCTCAAAGCCGCGTTGCGGCCATTGCCGCGCTGCTCGTCTTCGCCCTCGACTTCCACCTTTGCACGGCACGATCCTCGTGCCCAGAATCCTCGAAGGCTTCGTCATGTCTACCTTAAATGTAAGCAGAGTTTGACCCAATGTATTCTTGGTCCAACTCTGGGATACGCACAACAAATACTTTCAGACTCTTTGGATCGGCCCAAAAAAGAGATAATATGATTTCAAGTTATACTTGTCAAATCTGGTCAAGGTGACTTGGTGGACGTTGGAAGGGGAGCAACAAATTAAACTTTAGCTGTTCAGCGAGGGTTTCCCACTGAACCACAATAAGCAAAAATCAGCAAAGGGTTCCCAGCCATGGTGACGTTTAGCACAAGGGAAACCAAGGGGACGCGCCTGGCTCGAGTGCAGAGCCAAGGCCATGCGCCACTGCGCCACATCCTCGCCTTGGAAACCCGGGGAGTTTCAAGGAACAACTCGAACTCTACATGGACCTCCATTTGCTTAAGCCCCCTGAAAAAAATAAAACTATTCCCAGTAGTGATAGATTCCCTTTAACAACCAACAGGGGAAAAACACATATTCTTAACCAAATGGAAGTAGACAATTTGCTGACTTCAAAGGGGCATTTGGCTTTCACGGCTTTCAACAAGCCCAGCAAACATTTTTTGGTGCAACAAAGGCAGGTCTGGTCGAAGACGTTTCTTCCTGAACATTTGAAGTGTCAACAGGCAGCCCGTGTCCCGCGTTCCTATGCGTTTTTCGAGCGGAACGCATCTTTCCCACCAAGGGGAACGGGGCGCCGCGTTGGTCTTTCGACTGGCCTCATTATTTTACCATGATCAAAGTTACCCCATAAGTAGTGGGCAAAAGGGAAGCAACCCCATTTTCTGACTTCGATAACCCCCAGAAACCGTCAAAATCATCACACCAGTTCCGACGCGCGGGCGGAACTCTGCGCCAAAGGGCAGGCACCGATGGCGGTGCCCAGGCGGAGGAGGCAAGGGGCGCCCGAGCTCAGCAGCCGCACGGCCAGGGCCCAGCCTCGCGCAGAGGCGAAGATCGGATCGTTTCTCCGTGGCCCGTTTGGAGGAAGCCCAGCGTTCTTGGTTGACGTTGGAAGGGGAGCAAAAAACAAATGTTAGCAGTTGAGTGGTTGGATTTCAACCACTAAACCACAATCGGCAAAAATCGGCAAACATGTAAAATGCTTCCCAACAACCACCATGGGTTGGGGTGGAGGGGGTTGGAGGGTCGGTCTTTTTTCTTGAGCTCCAGGAGCTAAGGCAAGAATGGATCCTCAAGCACCTACATTCGCTCGGTTTAGCTCCGGTTTCTGCGGAACCTCTCGCCATCCACTTGGCACATGGGTCTCGTTGCGCGACCACAACGCGCAACGTCAAAGTCTGGGTGTGGCGCAGCTCGACCTCTCGCATGCCCCCGTGGCAGCGGAAAGCGTGATCCTCAGAGCGGCAAGGTTTTGCATCATGGCACCGCGACACCGAAGCTTTCCCAGATCCCAGTCACTACTGGAGGTCAGTAGCCATTCTTGGTTTCTGAAGGGTGGTTCCCTGGGTGCCCACTCTGCACCTGCAGAAAGGGTTTGGCACGGGCGTTTTTTGTCAAGCTCTGGCTGTCAAGCATCTCATTGGGAGGCAGCGCCAGCATTGGCATGCCATAAACCAAGGATAGGGCTCGCTGCCAGTTTCCTGGGCTCAGCGCACGTGCGCAACGGAGCGAGGCATGCGACATGCGGCCGAGAGGCCACTGCAAGCGCCCAAGGCCTTGGGGCAGGCTGCTTTGCTTGTGATATGCAGACGGCGAGTTTAGCCAAGGAGCAACTGTATAGCTTGCCTGCGACACTTTGATCCTGGCAAGTTCTCCAAGCTCCCCAGCATGTCAACTTGCCACCCAAGCACACTTCCACAAAAAAATCCCGTTCAATTATATACAACATGACTCATCCTAGACTCATGCGCCAACCTCCATCGCCATGACCCAGCGAGAAGGCACAGCGCAGTGGACCACTGCCGGCCCTTGGCGCAGGCATCCATGGCCGCCATCAATGTCCGCTCCTCAGAGCCACGCTAAGCCGCCTGTTGCTTCAGAAAGGCTTCCCTGCGTGCCATGGATTTTTACCAGCAGCTCCAAGCACTCGACCGAACCATAAGACTTCCCTGTCCACCTTTCGAACACTGACCTTTCCACAGGTTCCTTGCAGGTTGGAAAGTTGCCAAAAAACTTTGCCTCTACCCTTATGGCCGATTCGGTGAAAAACTGACGTTTTGTAAGTTGCCAAAGAAACAAAGCCATCGACCTCAGGGTTAAGTTGCCCTTCGCCGTTCTCTGGCTTAGGCCAGGGCATTGGGGCTCTCGTGCTGCAGCATCTTCCGGAGCAGGTCCTGCGGCGCAACAACAAAACAAAGCAACAAGAAACACAGCCAAAAGCACCCACAACCACAAGCAAACCAACACAAACACACAAACAAGCAAACAATGAACATGAGCAACAGCCAACCACCCAAACCAACCGAACAAACGCAGTGAAAAGTTTGGAACCTGGACAATTCACCCCACGCTGTCCAGTACTTGGCGCCAGTCTCTGGCGGCCGTCATGGCCGCAGTGTAGGCAACGACGTTCGGCAGGAACTCCTCTCAGCGCGCCAAACCTTTGACCCACCGCGGTCGAATCACCACGTGTTTGGGAGGTACCCGTTTCAGGTCGTTTTGAAGGGAGTTGTCAGGAAAAACGAACGCACACACTCTTTGGAATCCTAAACGACACATGTCCACCGCTCAGCGCAAGCAAAGCTTTTGTGCCCACCTGCTGAAGGCAGTCGAAGACCCAAAGGGCCCATTGCCACTGGCCAGCCGACTCGCAGGTGCTAATCACATTGCTGAAGCTGAATTGGTCTGGAGAACACCTTGGGCGATGCTCTCGCACCGATGGCAACGTTGGGTTTGGGTCAAACTTGCTCGAGGGATTTTCTTGCTTGTGCAACCTGAGCTAGGTACCCACCAAAACATATGTTTCTATGCGTATATATATGTATATGTACACGTATGTTTAGGCATATGTTGTCTGAGGGCCTTTTGAGGTTTGTTGAAAGGACCAGCAGCACGGAAACAACATTTTGTGGGTCCCCTACTAACAAATATACACATATGTATATATATATATATCATGCAACCTAATTCATATCTGCCCTTCTGCACGGGAAACTCCTGCAAGCGAGGCTCCGTTTGACTGCCATGTCGTGGAGTAGACGCAAGGACTCTTGCCACAAGATCCCTTCCGCATAGGCTGTCATCAACGAGCCTCAGCTTGCAAGCTTCGCGTGAAATCTGCTTGTTTCCTCCCCCTGGAACACCTGGCCATGGGTCAAAATCCCGTACCCCCACATCCCACTCCCCACTGAAATTAACTAAAACGGGTGGTGCACCAAACCAAACTGGGTACCATTGGCTTTGACCCACAGCCACCTGGAAAAGTTGCGTGGCCTTGCTATGGAAACATTGGGTTCTCTTCCGTCCGTCATGGCCAGCGACAGATTCGGCCTTGGGCCCAGGCTGTGCAGCACAACGTCCGGTACAGCTTTCTCCTGGAAAGCTGTAATTATTCACCTACGCAACATGGAGGTCAAGGGGTTGAAGAGGAGAATCCATTTTGAGCGAGGGTTTGGGACTTGTTGCCCCTACATACTAATATGGATCCCGAAAATTGCAGAGGAAGCCCCTTTATGGCGACAGGCTTGCTGAGTTCCATGGTTTCTCAAACGAGCTTGCAATAGAACCGCCATCCAAAGAACCGCCATCCAAACCAAGGGTTCCCCCCAAACATGCTGCCCCGCATTAGCAAACCTTGAGATGTGAAGTGATGACTCCCTCCGCCCGTGCAAAGTCGGGTCAGGGATTCTAACAAACAATGCTACACAAAATGGCCGTCCCTTAGTGCATGTGATCAGACCCTGATTGGCCTAGACCCCAAGTGGCCATGAAAAACGAGGGCGCCCTTTTGGTATTGGATTTTAAAGGGGGCCCTTTTGCTCGAGAACCCCACAAACAGGGCACCGGGTGTCTACGGGCCCCGCGTCCTCGAAGGTTTCACCCATGGCCACGGCTTGTTGCCACGAAGAGGATGCCACGCAGGCGTTCAGGGCGGCGGCCTGCGCCACCTGGTCCTTTGGTGCGAACCAAGCCGAGCAACAACTAGGTCCTCCAGTAGAGAGGATAGAATTAGAGTACCCTTTTTCTGTAGTCTGTTTTTATAGCTTTTAGTAGGGGAACCCTCCCCCAAAGGGCACTACTCCAAAACCTAGACGACCGACCAGCCAACGACCGACCAGCCAGCGACCAATCACCAACAAGCAGTTTTTGGCCATAACCGACGAGCGACAAGCAAACCAGGAAGAACCAACAACCAGCAACTGACAACCAACCACAAGGAGGAAGGCAAGCAAGGTGGGTTCATGGGGACCAATGAACAAAACAGGTTTTATTCGAATTGCTTGCTCCAAGCATGTTTTTTGAAGCATCCGCAAAGGAACCCATTTGTTGGAATCCATCCAACGGGTCACCTCCCGGAGGATTTGCGCCGAGTTCACAGTGGTCCGACCTTTCAAATTCAGCCCAGTCTGAGGTGACCAGGGTTGGGTGGTTCCAACCCCTGTTCCTAGCGTGGTTCAAACCGCTGTTCAAACAAATTCCTTTTCTTTCTCTTCAAAGTGGACCAGGGCTGGTTGTGTCCCTCCCCCAACCAGTTCACCCCATCTCCTATCAGCTTCCCGGGGGCCCAAGCCGGCTGAGCCTCAATAGGCGCATCTCCTAGGCCCAGGCGCCAGCTCCAGGCCCATCTTCATGGCCTCGGACATTTGCAGCGCCTTGTGCCAGGCAAAGCTCCGGCCGCAGGCGTGGATGGCCGTGTTCCCCGGCACCACGTCCTGGCGAATTCGGGCGAAGTATGTGGGTTGCAAGAGGTTTCCTTCTAAGTCCGTGCTTTGTCTCACTGCGGAGGAGGCAGGTCTCTTTTGGCCCACCAACATGGTCTTCCAGTAAAACACCAAGTCGAGAAGTGAGTCGCAAAGAATGTGCCCTGGAAACCAACCTTTCGTGTGCCGAAGTCACCAGCAGATATGGAGGGCTCTGGGCCAAAATAGCTCCCCAAATTTGGCTTCCCCTACCATAAAGGTACCCTCAAGAATGCACATAACCATTTTTGGTTTAAATTTATTCCTTTGGTTTCCACTTAGACCGCAGAGAACGGGTTACACTCAAAAACCCCACGCGTCCACTTTCTGAACAGGACAGGCTCGGGAGTCGAGAAGGCGCCGCCCCAACGTGTGTATATGTGTATGCAACTGGACATTGGAGATCCCCGCCTTGTCGGGATCTTTCGCCAAAGCCACGCTCTCCTGCGCGCTTGCTCCGAACAACTGGCCTTCCAGCCCCTCCCCTGAAAGACCCTCACCACTTGGGCATATAATACCACAATGGGGGGGACCCCCAAAATAAGTTGAATCATTTTGGATTTGAAGGGGGTACCCTGCGACATTTGTGGGAATCTCTGACTTCAGGCTCTTCCTGACCCTCGTGCCTCGCCTGCCACAAAGCAGCGGAAGCACACGCGCTGGAAGCTATGCTCGTTGACTTGCTGTTGGGCGTCATCATCTGTCCTGCGAGCACCCCGCGCCGTCGAACCGCCGACACTGCCGCAGTGTCCGGTGGGCAACAGACATCCTCCTTTCTCTCAAACACACCAACACAATGGAGACCACACGCCGATGATGCCCACGGTCGCCCAAGGCATGCCCGCCTAACATGCACGGCAGCAGCTGCAGGGCTGCTTGCCAGCGAACAGCCAACGCCTAGGCCACGCAGTCTGCCAGCCGTCCAAGTCAGCGGGTGCCAAATAGAGTTTGAGGCTTAGGGTTTGGGATTCTTGGGGTTTATCTTTAGGGGTGCCTTTAAAATGACTTGTGTTTTCCGTTTGCAGGAAACCAACAACTAGGTGGCAGTTGTGGTGGTCCACCGTTCAACAAGTAATGCTTAACGTGGCTTTCAGGGGAAATATGTTCACTAGGCTTTCTGTGGACACAGGCGATGACCAAACCGAAGTGGCTTGGACTTGAACTTGCCATCTTGCACCCAACCGGAGAAAACATTCAAAACTGGGCTGTCCTCAGATCCCCCGCCAAAATTTGAACTTTTAGTGGGTTAAATGCACTTCCCCACTAAACACAAAAAAGGCTAAACAGCTAAGGAGATGGCTGGGGGCAAGAAAAGCAAGAGCCAGCCAACATGGCCCGGCTGCTCGCCCAGGCGCCTGTGCACGGAGGGCCGAGTTGAAGACCACCACGTCCGCCCTGAGCTTCGCAGCGCCGAGGCCCAGCAGTAGCGCTGAGGCCTGCTGCCACGCCGCCTCCTCCGGAAACGACGCATCCCGACCTTCAAGCGACCTCGCTCGGATTGGTTCGGTTGCTTGCTGCTCCCCTGCTACAAGTTGAGCTTTTGGTGGTGTAATGGAAAACCCATGAGTTGGCAAAAAGTTAAAGTCCTCACATCCAAGCAAAAGGCACCAAAGTGATTGAATCGTGGTGTTCAAGGAAACCAGTTTTCGTGGGGCAAGATGCCTTAGATGGTCCGTGGCTAGACCCAGGTCTCTCAAACCCAGAATCATATCCATGCGGAATCCACGCCGCAACAGCTGGGGTGAATGAAGCCCTCTGAATCCTGGCATCAATAAATTGCTACCAGGTGCAAATAAGTTCAGCCGCAATTCCCCCCCCCCCCCAAAAAAAAAGTCCTGAAGACGTCAGACGGGTATGAGTTCTGATGAGAAACCCTTTGTTGGACATCATTTGCATTCAGATTGGATGTTCCCGTGATGCCAATCCAAGCCAAATAAGGCTAACTATTTAATGAAGGACTTCGGGTGCTGGGATTCCGTGTTTACCTTTAAGGGCGCAACCTTCATGTGTTGCAATGCCAGGGCTGTACAAGCGCACACTTGCAGCTTAATTTACAAAGCCACTACGCCACATAACTGGACGTCTAAATGCTGGAGCCAATTTGGTTTGAACAATGAACCGAAACAAACCGAACACGGAACCTCGTCCCCTCCGACAGGCAGAGAGGCTCCTTGCTACAAACAGCAATGACTGAGCTCACGTGGATGACGTTGACCTCCACCTCAGCCCAAGTGCCATGTGCTTGGCCCGTGGGAAATGTTCAACTCTCATTCCTTTTTCGGTTGCTTGGGGATGAGGCTTCCAAAGTGGGAAGCGTCAGGAAGCCGCTGAACCACCCCCTTTCCGCGGGGACAGCAGTCCGCCAAAAACTGGGCGCATTGTGCCATGTAGGGGGGTTCTTACGTTATAGTTTGTCCGCTAGTTTTGGGACATTTTCATGCGTTCAACCTCATCTGACTCCCACATGGAGAGGGCAGACCCGTGCCCCTCCCAAATGGATCATGGAGCACCCTGGCTTTTGCTCCTATGTGGATATAATTCATCTTATAGCGGCCTTGCTATTATCCTTGTGGTCGGATCGGGTGTGGGCGCTGGCTTCTACAACGCGCGCCTGCAAGTCCGTCATCTCCGTCAGGGCGTCCAGGGCATCGCTTGCTGAGAGCCTTCGGAGTGCGTAAGTCGCCGCCGCTGGCTCCCACATCCACGCCATAGCCCCCTGGGAGAGGCTGATAGGCAAAATGCGCAAAACCGGGAAAGAAGGACATTCCTTTTATAGGATCAATAGAGTGAGTGCCCGACCCCGGAGCCGTTGGCAAGAAGACCAAATTAAATTGGCAACCTTCTATGCCGGATAAGACTTTGCACAAACACAGTAAGGAATATGACTGCACACCGCCAAGCGTTCCCCACATGTGCGTCCATTCATGCTTGGCCAGAACCAAAAGGCAGACCCAAGATCCTGGGCCCATGCAAACAACACTCACGGCCACTCTTTGACTTGCTAGATCTCAATGAGGAATTTCAATCAGTTTGGGAATGAACCGTTCGGGATTTCCGGGCGAGGGTGCAATGGCTGGTTTGTAGGTTCCCTCAAGCACCTTACGTAGAACCAGGCCCAACAAGCTGAATGATGGTTCTAAGCTGAAAGCCTGCGGGTCCGCAGCTGTAGGGGCCCAAGTGTAGAGATATATATAAAAATATATAGCCTTTATATATACTACCCCGCAAAACCTCCCAGATGTACTTTGCGGCTGCTTGTTAGTGGTTTGGGGGGGGGAGGTCCTGCATATCTATATCGCCCTAATTACAATTTGCTACTTTTATTAGCCTTCAGAAAATTGTCGGTACATAAAGCGCTGGTGATGCTGGGGGTGTCGACACTTCCAGTAAGAGGAACCATACTTCCTTGACTAGAGCACTGGTGATGCTGGGGGCGTCGACCGCCAAAGTCTACAAACTCCAAACCATTGCGGCGTCGAATTTTAGAAAGCGGAAAATCACTTCCTTAACAAGCGTGCTGGTGATGCTGGGGACGTCGGCCACTCTAGCTACATAGAAAAAACTCGAGTTTGGAAACTGTGACAGCAACCTCGTAACCGGAGAAGCGTATCACTTATAAAACGCTTGTGATGCGGTTGCAACAAAGACCGTCAAAAGCAGGCCACGCCAGGATCGGGCCGAAAAGTGCACATTCGCAGCTCGTCTTGCAAACAGCTTTGATGCCGTGGAATGATTTGCTAAACTCGCGTTTGGAAACTGAAACTGCGATATCCAGTTTGCAAGGACCAATTTGCAAACGATTCTGCCTCCCGCACCCTACCGCGTGCGCGTGCCCGAAAGAAAGGCTTCGTTCTGCCTTGGGGATGGAGATGCTTAAGCACGAGCCGAGCGCGCACCCTTTTTGAGCGCATCTCTTTGCGCTGTATTTCGCGGATATCTCTATATACATATACGTATAAATATATATATATATATATATTTATATATATGTGTGTGTGTATGTGCTTATATTGATATGGAGATGCACACATATGCACATAGACGCAAGTATTATAGCGATTCTAGCGGCTCTGTAGCGGCCAAGTGCATACAGCGACAGGTGTGCCATCTGTCTGCGTTTCAGAGGTTGCAAGCATGTCCCTGCAATAGCTTTCTCAATATCATTGCCACTTTCCGCAGGTTTGTTCAAAAGGGGATCGCCGTTTCTTTGCGAAGTTCACGTGTTTTCGACTCCCAAGGGCCTCGCTCGGACAAGCTGTTGGCTGTGGGCAGTGTGCTGAGTGCCCGGCTCACGCGAGGGTGCGTCATAGCGTCAGACCCGTGCCCAGCCATGGCCAAGACTATGGGAGACCCGAGCGCCGAAAGGCTGCAGGGAAGTCAGTGGTCCGGTGGGAGGATACATCTAAAAACCACCGGCTTGACCAGGATGTGGAACCTCTAACTCAGCTGGAAAAGGTGATCTTTGGACTGGTGAAATTGTATCCATCAAAGGCCCCTGCTAGCTGGGCCTTTAGAGAAGTCAAGCGTGTTCTGTATTCGACTACCGTTTGAGCATTGAGAATGCCGATCCTGATGAAATTGGCATCCCTTTTAACATCCGCAGGTCCGATCATGACGTGCCGGTTGAAGCCACCACATGGAAACCACCCATTGCGATCGTAGCAAAAGTATGGGGGTTGTTTCAGAAACATGAAGTGTCGATTTCCCGCTGCAGCTGCCGACAACGAGGCCCGGCAACAAACAAACGCACAAACGCACGCACAAACGCACAAACAAACAACCAACCAACCAACCAAACAAACAAACAAACAAACAAACAAACAAACAAACAAACAATCACACAAACAAACAAACAAACAAACAAACAAACAAACAAACAAACAAACAAACAAACAAACAAACGCACAAACACACAAACAAACAAACAAACAAACAAACAAACAAACAAACAAACAAACAAACAAACAAACAAACAAACAAACAAACAAACAAACAAACAAACACACAAACACACAAACAAACAAACAAACAAACAAGCAAACAAGCAAACAAACAAACAAACAAACAAACAAACAAGCACACAAACAAACAAACAAACAAACAAACAAACAAACAAACAAACAACCAACCAAACACACAAACACACAAGCACACAGGCAAACAAACACACACACATGTACACACACACACACGGTCACACTCAGTCACGCACACCGTCACACAGTCACACACACACACACACACGCACAGTCACACACAGTCACACACAGACACACAAACACGCAAACACGCAAACACACAAACACACGCGCACACACACAGTCACACACACACAGTCACACACACACGCACAAGCACACACAAACAAACACGGATACACATATTCAACAACACAACCACGTGCCAGATAGCCGGTTGAACATCGGAAACCTGCCCATGCCCTTGCAGAGTTTTGAAACTTATGCAGATTGTTGTGATTTCGCACCCCAACCAAATTGACATACTGTACTGCAGTAAAGTTGGGGACGGAGTGAAGATGTGAATGCTCCAATCAGACAGTCTCAACTTACACTGCGTGGCTTGCACACCTGCGCGGTCAGAATGAATTCCTCTTGGAGAAACATGCAGATTGACATACAAAGAGTCTACAAATCGTGGCTTCCCTCCAAGATGCAAACAAGTTCTTGGATGCGGCGCCATGAGAGGATACATGACTTGTTGCTTTCCCCAAATGTTATCTATCCTTGAAGGGAACCCTGTCAAGGCCCCCAGAAGGTTCCCAAAGGTTGTGTTTGAGAATTTGCATTATCCTTTTTAGGCTGAAATCTAGTTCCCTCCCCCCCCAAACCACCACCGCTCGAAAAATCAAGCCACTTACCCCTTTCTTGATATTGTATCCCACTACTCCGGCTTGTCCTCTGTAGATGGACGGAATCCTGCACCGCCTAAGAAACCGTAGAATGATGATTTCCCTGTGAGTGCCTACAAACACTGGTTTTTCATTGTTCCAAAGTGGTGCAGGATTTCGTCCATCCACAGTACCGCGCGTGCGACGCCCACGGAGCAACACGGCGCTTCTGCTTTTCCCTCGTAGACCTGCAGCGCCGCGCCCGCGCAGGCGGGCTGCACATGACGCAAGCCTCTAGCAGCGCGAGGGCCTCGAAAGATCGCTGGCGTACGACTGGGCACGGGTTGCGACCCGTGGACTTTATGGCTCGTGCTCAGAAAAATCCAGGGAGCTACAAACCCAGGATTTTCTTGACCAAGCGCCTGCAGAGTGGTGGTGATGTGAATGGGCAAAACCAAAAGGCAAAATGTGAACACACTGGTAAGTTGAGCCCGGCTATGGCAGGTGCTGTCGCAAGCAGGGGACCGTACCGAGCACAAACTCTCTCAGGTCCAAATCCCTTTGACACATTCCCATATTCCAGAAACATCACCCTACGCAAAGTGACGTACAGCAAACCTGACGTTTAATGCAACGAGGAAATATTGACAAAAAGCTGGGCTCCTGTTGGGTGATTTTAAGCCCCGCTTTTAGGTTGAAACCACGGGTATGGGGAACCCCACCTCGCCCGTTACAACCATAGTTTTTGTTCACCAACTAAGTTGGTTGACCATCCAGCTTTGACTCACTTGAGTGGATTGATTGATCAGAACAAATCTGGACCGTGAGTTTGCCACAGAAGTGATCTTTCAAAACGTGACTCGCATAACCATGGGGCACTCACCCCCCCCCAGGTTTCTCTTGCTGATCGCCTCTTCTCAGGACCGCCCGTAGTACGTGGAACCCGCGCAGTGCCACGTGGCGACGCAGATCTCGGCGCAGCCCAAAGGTGGACGCCTCCTCAGTCGCAGCATGGCTGTGGCGTTTCCAGATCCCTCAAAGGCTCAAATCCAGAAAATATCAGATGAAGTCTGCATAGGGGTGAAGCATGAGCCCCTTGTCCAGTGACTTCTTGAATGATTCGGGTCACCTTGTGCGGACTTTAGGAATCTAGCAGCTCATCTTCGGTCTTGCAAAATCTTACTGCTTGGGCTGTGTCGCCAAGCTTCTTTTGGCACCCCCCCCTTCAACTTGACCCCAAACAGGGTAGCCTCAAAAACGACGCCTGCAGCCGAACTTTGGACTCAAGGCGCGCCATCGGCACATCCGATCAAGGGATGTGGGCGATGGGGACTCGCCGGCGGCGTGTCCGCAGTGGTCGAGATCACCAAGGTAAGCTGCGCTCTGCGCGATGTGCAGTTGGGCAAAGCTGCTCCCACGGCAAAGGCGCACCACCTCTGTGCAAACCCCAGCCTGCTCGCAAGGGAAACCGAAGGAAGCTGTTTAAGCAGGGGGGGGTCGCTCTTGCCACACTATCCTCAACGGAAACTTTGCCTTTCCAGAGGTGGAGCTGCAACCCATGCCTAAACGAAGTGAATCAGAAATCTAGCAATTGGCCAAGGTGCGATATGCATTGGGCACAACTCAGTTGCTATGCTTGGCTTGGTACCCTCCTGAGGGGTTGTTTTGAAAGGAAAGTAAAATAGACATGGGATTTTGGGGTCCACATGCATTTGAAGACAGCTCCACAAAGGGTTTGAACAAAGATATCATTGCATTCTGACATTACCCCACTTCCCCCTCTTTACAGTATATTTCCCTATCCCATCTTTCTCTTGAGGGGGGGAACATCTCCTACCGCAATCTAACAAGCCAGACGCGTCCTTCTTTCCACATGAGCCTTACCCCGCAAATGGTGGTTTCTTTCTTGCCCTGAGAAGGCAATGGGCCAATCCGATCCTTCAAGGAGCCTTGTTGTGAGAATCTGATATTCTTAAGCACGTTGAAAACAGACTGGCCCAGCCCGGCCCCGCATCCCATCAAACGACCCGGAGCTTGAACACAGAGTTCCCGACATTCTGTATCCCACGTGGCAGGGTCAACACTACAAAGAGGTACATCGTTTTTTTTTCAGTCCAACTTTTTGTGTGTGGCAAATCTAATCACAGATGTGGCCGAACCTCTGGTGTATCAACAAAAATGGCCTGTTTCTTCGAAATCCTCCGTTTGTTTGCTCGTTTCATTCTTCTTTGATTGTCTCGCTTCCTGAGTGGATCCAAACTTGTTGTTTACCACTAAACTGGTCTACCCGACCCAAACAGTTTAAAATGTCCGGGAATTCAGGGACTGAGTGAGTTGTGTTGTTGGTCTTAAGACCGACTCCCCCAAATGGGAATGGCTCAACATTAAAGAGCTGGGGTCTGCGCGGGTTTTAGTCTTTGGTTCCATTTACCAAGGTGCCATTTTGGCACTTTATTGAGCCACCGCCAAATTGGGACCGAAGCGCCAGCAGCCCCGGGGCATGAACTCCAAGACCGCCGCCGCGCTCGGCAGCCAAAGCATCGCCGCCCCTACACCGCTGCCGTGGGAGCCCACCAACCTCCCAAAGGCCACGTGCAGGGCGTCAACCGGGTCACCGGCTGTGGACGGACGAAATCCACTTCGCTCCACTTTGAAACCATGAGAAACCACTTTTTGTTTTGTATTTACAAGGGGTCTATCATTCCAGGGCTTAGGTGGTGCAGGATTGCGTCCATCCACTGCATGGGTTCTGAAGCTCTAAGGGTTGATTCCAGCCAGTCTTTCCAACCATCGTTCTTTTCGACAACCTGCCGCTTCCCTGGGTTTCCGGAGGCTTTCTAGAAAGAAGGATCTCTGGAAAGAACGCAGAAAAAAAGGGAAATGGAACCCCAAACATGTTTTCTCCTTTCGGCTTCCCTTCAAAATACGAACCAAAAGGTTGGATCCATTCTCCAAACGCCTGTGGAGTTGTGCAATTCTTGAAGCATGGTGCCCTTTTTGGGCTTGGTTAAAGGGGTTACCATTTTGAGCTTCTCCCCCAAAAAAAACACACACACAATATCACCTGCGAATTGTCTTGTTTGAAGACGGCTTCTGCGTATACCATGTGTTGCCTTTGTGTTGTTGGGATGGGCATAAAAAGTGCCCGCTTTACAAAATTACCCTCAAAATCAACTGGGTTCGGTGCAGACTAGTTAAAAGTGAACCACTGAATCGTTTGGCTTTTAAGGTTCGCTAGAACGGACATAAAACTTCATGTCATTTACATTTCCCCAAAAATGATGCCTGCAAAAGTGAAAGGAACACAACAAAACACACATGTCCAAAGAAACTAAGAGGAACCACACCCGTGTCCAAAACAAAACAAGGAAATACACCCTCGCATGAAGGAAGGACGGGTAGCTAAGTTATGCAGAGTCACGCTTTAGTGCGCCGCAACAGCAGGAGCTGCCGTGCCCAGCTCAAATCTTCCAAGGCCAGATCACGACAGGAGAGGCGGCTTTGTTTGCAGACCTGGGCCGGGACAATGTGGTCTTGTCTCAAAAAACATGAAGTCCAGGAAATCAGGGACTAAGAATACCATGTTCCATTCTGCTTCACAAGGGCGCAAATATATTGAGCTGTGGAAATGGCGCGGAGCATATCCAAAAAAAACGAGCGACACATTCAATGGCCCTACACTTGAGACTAGACAACAAGTGGGAATGACTCCGAAACCGGCTTAACGGGCTTGCAGCACATCGCCCTTTCCGCGTTTGTTTCTGCTCAACTATCGCTGCAATTTGGCATGAAAACGAAATGTTCGGCTGAGGGAACCCAAAAATAATCAGGTGAACATATGGTCAAGGGGAAGGCGCCCAACATTAACCCCTAGAACAGCTTTGAACCAATGTGCTTCTCTCAGGGCCTCCGGGACTTGCTCAGTGGTATCTCTTTGTTCCACGTTTACAATGGTTTCAACCATCACCGCCATCCCAGTCAACGTTCCTGCAAGCATAAATTCAAATCAGGGACCCCTTAGTGGACATCATTTGGACACTTTTGAAGTGCTTCCCAATTCAAGTTCACAAGCATGTCAGGACACAGCCAAATAGAACTTAAATTATTGCTTGCGTTTTGCATCCCAAAGTCCTTGTCTTTGAGAGCGGCCGAAAGGCGTGCCGCGCCGCTTGGGTCACTGCCGCTTGGTTCGTGGGCGCGCGCGTGGGCGTACCCGCAGGGTTTCGACGCAGAAGTAGAAAAACAGGAGCAGAGGCGCCTGCAGTGCAAGGACACGTCCAAAACCACCTGCTTTACAACGGGATCCTCCAACTCTCTATCCTTCAATGGGCCCCGTGGAACTTGCGGGGCCAAGGCGCGACGAGTGGTTTGCTGGTGCTTCTCTCCTCTGGCTTCCCGCCTGTCCGCGGCACTGCCGCCCGCAGCGGGGCCCGGAGCTCGCAAAAGGATCTGGAGGCAAACGGCAGGCCAAGAACAGGAAGATTTCGGCGCCGCGAGAGCTCACAACCTGGCCATTGGAAGGTGCCATGGACATGTAGCGTCGTTTTGCGGGAGGTTTGGCAGGAAACTCGAAGGCTGTTGCAACATAGACCCGGTTAGTGTCCGCCGTAGGGGTGTCATAGGGGGGTGGTAGAAGATACCTTCGCAAAGACAACAGCGATTTGCTGAATCTCCCGAACGGTTCCCTTTGAAGCAACCCAACTCTGGAAGGTTTGATCAAAACGGCCTTTGAACGGGAAGGCTCTGAGCCTGGGGGACTGTGCGAGCCATGGCTGAGTCACTGGAGTCGTACCAAGGCTTTACCGCCTGAGGATAGGCCATTTTGCAGCTGAAAAGGTTCCAAACATGCACCAATATTTTTAGCAGTTCCACTCTTGGGTCGGGACCTAGAACCTGAGTGGAGGCTTGCAGTTCCAGGGCCCTTGGGTCTTCCAGCCTCAGCCATTGGCTCACGCTCCAACGTGTGAGCAGCTTGGGTGGTTTTCGACGGCTTTGCTTCAAAGGTTCAAGGTGCCAAGTCTTAATCGGGGGTTGACGTAGCACTTGTGCTAATTACTAGTTAAATCACATACTGTGAATGGGCATGTACACATACAAGCACAACGTGCGTCTCCAGAATCCAGTTCTGGGGGCCAGTGATAAGATATTGATCTTTCCTGGAGCCCAGCACGACTCTGGAAGCAGTCCCTCTCACAAAGGGGAAGCGCAACCTAAGTCAAGGGAGCATGATGGGAACATGCACTTGAAATAAATCTGTGACTGGCAATCCGCACCTCTCGGAATCAAGCATGCAGCGATGCGTGTGTTTTAAGCCAATCTGCTGGCATGAGGTTCGCAGTGTGCCCTGTCTAAGTTGCCAATGGGCGAGGTCGGGCTGTTACAGGCAGGAACTGCTGGCGAGCTGTGTGAAGCCCGCACGCATAAGGTAAACTGATGAATGAAGCGCTGTGTCGGGAATGGACATCTGGGTTACCCTGAATATTTCAACCCACTCCCAAAAGTCCGCCGACCCCTTCTCCCAAAGGGAGGCGCACGGGAAGGGTGGCAACAAGATTGTCATCACGATGCTCATCATCATCTCTTTTTTCGACTTCAATTGTAGCAGAGATGAACAAGCTAGATGCAAAAGATGCGTGGACATGATTATCATGATGACTGCTGGTGATGCTGAGGATGCGTTATGATGATTGTCATCCGACTTGAAATGCAAAAGATGCGTGGACATGATTATCATGAGGATTGCTGGACAGTTGCATGATTATCATGATGACAGCTGGGCCGTCATCATCATGACGGTCATCAGCATCCTTTTCTTTTCTTTCAATTGGTGATGCACAGGATGCATTGGTGATGCAGAAAATGCTACGATGACCATCAAGTTGGCTTTGGACCATGTTCATCCGAAACTTGCTCGGATGAGCATATTGGCCCGCAACACGCGCCAGGAGCATTATCATCATCATCATCACCATCATCATCCAGTATTGGTTGAAGTGCGGCGTTAGGCTCAATTGGTGATGCAAAGGATGCCACGATGATACTCATGATCACAATTTCTGAGCCCAATTGGTGATGCACAGGATGTGTTGGTGATGCAGGCGATACTACGACGATAATTAAATTTGCGTTGGACCATGCTCATCCGAAACTTGCTCGGATGAGCACGTGCTCGTTGACAGCTGTTGGAATTGGCTTGCTAGACAGGTAAGCATCATCATCATTCTCACCGTCATCATCCAGTATGTCTTTCTTGTGTGGCGCCGTGATTATTATCCTTGTTGCTACTGCTACTGGAGATGCTAAGGATGCGTAGCGACGGCCATCATCGTCATCGTCAGTGATGATTATCATCATCCTGCTCTGCTGCTGGAGGTGCTAGAGATACATGATGACATATCGCTGCTGGAGATGCTACAAGTGCGTAGTGATGATTATCATCATCCGGAAGAATGCAGGGAGCGCAGGTCGCGCGGAGGACTACGAGCAGCCGGATGGCGCATCCAAGGATTGCTGGGAGTTCGCCAGCAGCAGCCTCGCCGCAATAATGCTGGGGATGCTAAGGGCTCGGGAGCTTTTGGGGATGCTAAACTGCCACGAAGTTTCGCGGCAAAAATACATATTTTTTGCCGCGAAAAATGTGGGCGGCAGGAGGTCCTGCGGAGACCTCAAGGATTGCTGGGAGTTCGCCAGCAGCAGCCTCGCAGCAATAATGCTGGGGATGCTACGGGTCAGGAGCTGTTGGGGATGGACATGATGATTGTGATGACTGCTGGTGATGCTGAGGATGCGTGGACATGATTATCATGATGCCTGCTGGTGATGCTGAGGATGCGTCGTGATGATTACTAGTGATGCTGAAGATGCGTCATGATGATTAGCAACACAATCCTGCTCATCATGACTGTCGTCATCATCACTTTTTTCTATACGTTTCGAGTGTGCCGTTAGGCACCATTGAAGATGCAGAAGATGCGTGTACATGATTATCGCGATGACTGCTGGTGATGCTGAGGATGTGTGGACATGATTTTCATGATGACTGCTGGTGATGCTGAGGATGCGTCGTGATGATTAAACACTGGTGCTGCTCAGGATGCGTCATGATGATTATCAACACAAGCATGTTCATCATGATTGTCATCATCATCTCTTTCTTCTATACGTTTCAAGTGTGCCGTTAGGCACCATTGGAGATGCAGAAGATGCGTGGACATGCTTATCGAGATGACTGCTGGTGATGCCGAGGATGCGTGGACATGATTATCATGATGACTGCTGGTGATGCTGAGGATGCGTCGTGATGATTACTGGTGCTGCTCAGGATGCCTCATGATGATGATCAACACAATCATGCTCATCATGAATGTCATCATCATCTCTTTCTTCCATACGTTTCAAGTGTCCCTTTAGGCACCATTGGAGATGCAGAAGATGCGTGGACATGATTATTGCGATGACTGCTGGTGATGCGAGGATGCATGGACATGATTATCATGATGACGGCTGGTGATGCTGAGGATGAGTGGTGATGATTACTGGTGATGCTCAGGATGCGTCATGATGATTATCAACACAAGCATGCTCATCGTGATTGTCATCATCATCTCTGTGTTGTATACGTTTCGAGCGTGCCGTTGGCACCATTGGAGATGCAGAGGATGCGTGGATATGCTTATCGTGACGATTGCTAGCGATGCTGAGGATGCGTGGACATGATTATCGTAATGACTGCTGGCGATGCTGAGGATGCGTCGTGATGATTACTGGTGCTGCTCAGGATGCGTCATGATGATTATCAACACAAGCATGTTCATCATGATTGTCATCATCATGTCTTTCTTCTATACGTTTCAAGTGTCCCGTTATGCACCGTTGGAGATGCAGAAGATGCGTGGACATGCTTATCGTGATGACTGCTGGTGATGCCGAGGATGCGTGGACATGATTATCCTGATGACTGCTGGTGATGCTGAGGATGCGTCGTGATGATTATCAACACAAGCATGCTCATCATGTTAGGCGCCATTGGAGATGCGGAACATGCGTGGACATGCTTATCGTGATGACTGCTGGTGATGCTGAGGATGCGTGGACATGATTATCATGATGACTGCTGGTGATGCTGAGGATGTGTCGTGATGATTACTGGTGATGCTGAGGATGCGTCATGATGATTATCGTCCGATTTGAGATGCAAAAGATGCGTGGACAGGATTATCATGATGACTGCTGATGATGAGGATGCATAGTGCTGATTGATACGATTATCATGAAGGTCATCATCACTCTTATCATCATCATCATCATGATGTGAAGGTCGTCACCACTCTTATTCGTTCTCTTATTATCATCAACACAATCATCCTCATCATGATTGTCCTCATCATCTCTTTCTTCTATACGTTTCAAGTGTCCCGTTAGGCACCATTGGAGATGCAGAAGGTGCGTGGACATCATTATCATGATGACTGCTGGTGGTGCTGAGGATGCGTTGTGATAATTCTCATCCGATTTGAAATGCAAAAGCTGTGTGGACATGCTTGTCATGATGCCTGCTGGTGATGCTGAGGATGCGTCCTCATGATTGTCTGGTCTTTGTACGCAAGGACAAGTTGGCCAATCCCAATCCATAGCCACTGGAGACTGGCTCCTTACGTCACCCAAGACCACTAATAGAAAGGAGACCAGCGGGCTGCCTCGGCTCAATTGGTTGTTGCATTGCCGTTAAACCCGACAAAAAAGGCGTCGTCATAATTCTTCTAAGGAAGCCGGGGGCGGCGGCACAGGGCGGCAGCCTTAAATCCGGCTACGCCTCCTGGGGTAGCATGTCGCCGCTAGGCAATTAGCCTGCTAGCTTTAGCTATAGGGGCTGCACCCTGGTGCTGCCGACCCTCGCCGCTTGGTCATGATGCGCTGCCTAAATCCGGCACCTCTGCATCACCAGCTCGGGCTTGCGGTTTTGCTCGCCTGTCAAAAAACCCTCGCAAAACATCGCGTATATGCAGGGTTTAGGCCATGTGGCTGGCATCATCAGGGTCTGGGGTTGGGCCTGGGTGATGCTTCAGCGGGGCTTGGTCTGCATCATCAAGGCTTCCTTCCAAAAAGCCTCTCAACCCATGAAGCACTGTTTTTTAGAAGGTGGTTGAGGGATCTAAGCGAGGCTCATTTTCGCGCATTTTGGCGCCAAGCGCTGCCGGGCATGCCGGCGATGCTGGGCCCTCGCTCTACAAAACGCTGTAAATACCGTCAAAAACTGCTGCGCTGAGCGGTTTGTTGTTGTTCTGTCCGTTTTGCTGTTGCTGTGGCTGGCTCGCGTGCTGCGCGGTCCTTGCTTTTTTCCCGTTGGTTTTCGGGCCTTCTGGCGCGCGCGCGCGCGACCCCAGCCACAAAACGCTGCTATTTACAATGTTTTGTTGCATTTGCGTTTCCGGGCTGGCTTGCGGGCTGCTCTTTTTGGGCTGCTTTTTCTGGAGCCTCTGGCGCGCGCGCGCGCGCGACCCCATGTCAGCCTTCTGGGTTGGGGCCCGGCTGGGGCCCAGAAAGCTGGCATCCCCTGCATCATCTGGGGTTGGGGTGGGCAACATGCATAACCTAACCAACCATATCATAGCACAGAATATGTCTCATATACAAAAAAACATGACATGACATGGCATAACTTGCCGGCTAGAGGCCGCAGCAGGCCCAGAAAATAACTTTGATGCTTGGGCCTCGCCCTGATTTGGCGCCCGCCTGGGTCTACAGTGACCGGGTGGTCCAGGAAAGCCCCGAAGAAATCCATAAAGTTGTGTCGATGGTCGCAAGGATATGTCCTTGATGCAGGGTGCTGGTAACAGCATACACCCACATACCACCTGCTTTACAAGGATTTGGGTTCAGATCAGCTGGCAAAAGTCATATTTTGACTGGCTAAACCTCATTCTTTGACTTTGAGGGACCCTGCCATGGTTGCCCTTTCTGTGATGCTCCAGTGAGATTTCCATCCCTACCACTATATTGTAATTGAGGACTGCCCTTGGCATCACAGCTCTCAGCAGCTCATCCAGTGTTCGGAACTCATCTGCCAAGCTGGTTGGCGATACCCCGCCCATGTTCAAATAAGCCAATGTGCACCGAAGCGCGTGGTTTCCAATTTGGGGATGGATGGATTCCAGTGCCGGAACGTGTGGGAATCCGCATGTGAGGCTGGCAAGCTTGAGAAGGTATAGCCAATCATGAAGACTTCTGGGAAAAGAAGCGAGCAGTAAGCGAAATTATAGCACGGAGGATGGCCCTGGGGCATTTCCCTGCAGGTGATACATGCATGCTTACCAACACTTGACCCATTTGGAGAGTAGATGTGAATACATATGGCTTGCATGGAGTGCTTGGGTTTGCGTGTTTTGTCAAGCCAACTAAAACCAAACAGGAGACGGTGGGTGGACAATACCCACTTCCTCTTTGACGTCCCTTAAACAGGTCTTGTCCCTCCACTCAGTTCGGTGGATTGGATGAAAAATCTAAACTCCGTTTTTAACACAAAAATGAGACCCAGAGAGTTCACCAGGGTCACTCAAGGGTTCTAACCCGTTTTATTTACCGCAAAAAACGCCAACATTCTTGATGAACTATGGTAGTCCTTTCGCTGGCCAGTTGGTCACTTTGTTAGCCAGTCAATCAGTCAGTCAGAGAAAAAGTCAGTCCGTCAATCAGTCAGTCAGCCAGCCAGCCAGTCAGTCAGTCAGTCACAGTCAGTTTGTTCGTTGGTTTGTTGGTCCTAAAATGGGTCCAACTACCCCAAAACAATTGGGGCGCTTGTGCCGGGCCGCAGGTCGCCCAGCGCGAGGCGCAGGCGGAAGCTGCCGAACCGGGACCGGAGGATGCGGAAGGCCTTCGACTCAAGAAACCGGTTGGGGTGCAAGGGGACACCAAGATGACTGTTTCAAAATGAGGGGAAGCCTCAGAATGGTGAGGTTCCTTTTGATTTCGCTTTTGGCCAACCACCCCATAAAGGGTTGCCTTAGCCTCAAACGAATGGCTTTCAGAAAGCAGTAAGTCTGGAAACCTGAGTAGGGAGGGTTTGCATACGCAGTTTGCACACGCAGGGGCAAACCGGGGGGGGGGGGGCCTCAGAAGCCCAGAGCCTGAACAGGGTCACTAGGGTCAGGTAATTGACGTCGAATTGGTGGTTTGGACTTGGGCTAACCGAGCCCAGCCAGGAAAGCCAGGCGAGGATCGCCAAGCTGAGAACTGCCAAACAAGAACGCCAAAAGGTGAAGAAAATAAGTGACGCCGGAAACGTCAACGACAAGATGCCAGGAAGAACTTTCAAACAATAGGGCATCAAGCAAAACAAGCAAACACAAACAAACAAAACATGCAAACAAGCAAACCAAACAATCACGCAAGCAATCAAGCAAGCAACCAGCAAGCAAGCAAGCAAACAAATAAACCACGCGAGCGAGCAAGCGAGCGAGCGAGCGAGCGAGCGAGCGAGCAAGCAAGCAAGCAAGCAAGCAAGCAAGCAAGCAAGCAAGCAAGCAAGCAAGCAAGCAAGCACACAAACAAACAAACAAGCCAACAAACAAACAAACAAGCAAACAAGCAAGCAAGCAAGCAAGCAAGCAATTTAACAAGCAAACACATCCACACACACACAAAAACAAACCCGGCCGACCGACCGACCAACCAATCAACCAACCAGCTAGCCAGGCAGCCAACAAACTAACAAACACACGCAAAAAACGACAAGCACAAACGAAACAACAAACAAACAAACAAACAAACAAGCAAACAAACAAACAACCAAACAAACAAAGAAACACAGACACACAGAAATGACACACTGAAATGACACACTGAAACAAAGGATCTGAGACTTTTACGTTTGGGTGGAAAGGGCCTTTGGCGACATGGGGACCAATTCTCAAAAGGGGCCTGCTGGATGAACTGCGAGTGCCTGCCGATCAAATTCCGCCGGGGTCAATGGGGATCCCCGCAGTGAAGTACACAAAATCCCTCGTCCTGACAATAGATCATGGCCCTTGGCGGTTTGGCCGAGAGACGGCAAACACGATGGAATCTCTTTTTGGGGGGTTCCAGGTTGCGCCTCGGCAGGGGAAATGGTTTCTGTGCCGTTTGGAGGGATTCCCATCTACTTGGTCACTTTCAAAGGGCCCCAAGGGCTACTCACAGAAAATGTCAACTTAGCTTGCTGGCTCTCAGTTTGAATTGCAAAATGTGAGCTGAGGGATCCTCATTCCCTGCTGACAACCAGCGAGTAAACTGCAGGCTTACCTCCACCAGCAGTCCCCGAGTGAAGTGGTAGAAGGAGCCGGGGGAAGCGCGGCCAAGCGGGCTGAGCCCCGCCACGCAGGCGTGTTGCTCGCCTGCGCGTTGATCTCAGTTGAAACCCACTGAGCCATCCGACTTGTGGCTTTGATGTGGGTCCCCAGGTTCATTCCCCAACCCCACCCCTCAAAAGACAACAATAACAACAACGACACCCAGACCATAGATGCTCTGTCTCAAGCTGAGGAACTCCCCACCCCGCCCCCCTTTGCGTGTTGTTTTCCTTTCCCGGCCGCGACCTGGCACAGGCCCAAGGAAGGGCTGCCAGCATGCGAGCGCCACCTTCCGCAACTCACGGGCCGAATCGTTGGCTCGCCGGGAACAGGTGGAATTCTGATGAGCTGGGCATCCTATGGACTTCAAAATTCGGGGGAGATTTCCACCAGCCACTCTTGAGGTCCCCAAGTGCTAAACAGGAATTGCCTTCTCCAGTTGAAAGCTGACAATTGTGGAATATATCAAAAATCCAGAGGACGCGACTCTCTGTGAGGGTCCCCCATTTTAGGAAACAAGCCGACTAAGATTGACCGCTTTAAGGAAAACTACTATTTTTTGGGCCACAAAGCCTCGACTCAAAGTGCCTGACAAATCCCGCCTGTGAGCGGTCGGTTAGGTGCCCACAGCGCCACCGCCAGCGGCTCATCACCTCGAAGGCTCCACGGGCCATCTGCTCCCCCACCCGCAGGGCCTTGCGACAGCGGGTTGGCAGCAACACCCAAAATATGCGTTCTCGCGAGTCCTTCCGAATGTTCGGATGGAGTGTTCTTGCAACAAGCGTAGTAGGCCCAACAGAAAGGAATGGAAGTCCAAGGATGCCGCCTAGGTAGCCAACCATCAGGGGGTATTGTTTCAAGGGGGTGCCTGTGTCTGGGGGTTCCTTTGGCTTCATTTTAAAGCAAAACATGAGGCACATCGAAGAACAGGCGCGCCGACTTTAGGCAACTCAAATTGTGGGGCCTCCTCCGAACCAAACCAAGGCTGACCAAATATGTTTGAACAGAATATTGAAAAATAGTATAGTCAGTCTTTTGTGTACTCCAGATTTGGGCCAGGTAAAAGTTGAAGTGACCCACAGTCAAGGTGCGCCTTTTGCTCCGTACATCTCCAACATCAAGAAACCAAGGGAAACTCGCCTCATCCAACACCCAGTCCGTCCAGTACTTTAAAACCACCCCAAAACGGGTACCGAGCCTCAACAAACCTTGGCCCACTCCAAAATACAAACATGAGATTCTCTGGACCATGTTTGACGCCTCCCTGCATTCGTTGAGCAAACACCTTGTGGAACCTGCGATGCGCCCTGTGAGCCCCGGTCCTCGCGCCACGGCTGCCAGCCATCGCTTTGCATCACGGCATCTGCCGCTGCTCGGAGACTTGGATACTCCTGGCGGACCGTGGGTGACTCAATCCCTGGTTTAAACGTGCTTCTAAGTAAACTCCCTGAACAAGCGCATCAGAAACCAAACTTTGAAATTGGAACCTTCAAACGACCTCCTTTTGGTTTCCAATTTTTTAGTGAAACAGGCTCGGCTAATTCAAACAAATGTTGCCCATCCCAAGCCTGGCCACTTCCCAACTCCCTGGGACAAAAATGCCGTGCATCACCTTCCAGCCCTGGGTCCCAGTGGCTTTCATGTCGAGCTTCCTTAAAGGATGCCACCCCCGCCCACCCAAAACCAACAAATGCTCTACAGCCGAATCCTGAAATCGGCTGGCAGTAGTGTGAGATTAAACATGACACAAATGCACCCTTGGGACCCTGAAGCCCTTCAGAAACGGCAGCCTGTTCGGCAGGACCTTCCTCAACCTTTGGCGTTAGCCTTTCTTCTCACCCTGGACACTTCTTTTCTTACAATTCCACAATGGCAAACACAAAGAACACCTGGACTTCAAAGATTCCCCCTTTTAAACGCAACCAAACGGGGGCATCCTCTAAAACGACACCCAAATGAACACCTGGCCCTGGTTTTGTGGAGACGTGGGACCCATGGCGAGGTCCGTTCACCGCGCCTCCAGCGGCGCCTGCGCCTCTGCCTGCGCGGCCGCGGTCCGGAGCTGGCGGCAGGTGGCGATGTCGTCCGCCAGCAGCGACTCAGCGAGATCGAGTTCGGGGCCTCGAGCCGAGTCCGTCCCCCCCACCCCCCCCCCCCAATGGGTGGCTCGGTGCCGCTTGTTGCGTGTAAACAAGTGGGTTTGTTGCCAAGGGCGAAGCCAAAAGGAACAATACATTTTTGTTGAGTTCCCTTATCTTGACACATACCCGCATGGATGGTACCGAAAAAAAGGGGAACCAAAGGATGGTTTCCCCTCTCAAATGCACAAAATGCGGGCAGTTTCGCCAAAGTGTGTGTGTCAAAATCGGTGTCCCGGCTGCCCTTTCAATGGCAACCAAAAGGGTCCATGCCATCCGCCATTTTGAGAAACTCCGAAACGGTGGTTTCCTTTTGGCTCCCTTCCAACCACACCAAAACAAGCTATATACCTCAAAATAAGACACGGATATCGCAGCCCCCCAGTGAATCTTGAGACGGAAGAATGCATGTTGTCCTTTTGCTTTGCCTTTGCAGCAATAGCCCAGACTGTTTGGTGCCTCCTGCCTGTAGCTGCCAAACCGGTGATGTTGCGGGCCCAACAAGCCCCCAGGCAAGCTGAAAAGAGTACTCTCAAACAAACCTACACACACACACGCCCAAAGTAGGGAAGACCAAGCATATCCGCATATACCAAAACTGGGCGCGGTTTGCATTGGGATGTCCGTTGGCTCGCGATGCATCGCTGAGCTCCGCGCCGTCCACAGCAGCTCCGCGCGCAAAATGAAGAGCAGCGCCGCGGCCGGCGCGCAGGACATGCGGCCGCGCGAGTGGAGCTCCTGGAGGAAGTCCCTCCAGCCTGAGACAGCTGAGTGGAACTGGGCCATGTTCACCTGACCAAACAATTCATACAAATCTAAATATTTGTGTATATATATATATATATATATGTATCTATATATATACATCAATGTGTCACGTATCGTTCCTACTGCTAGGCTGCGACGCACCCCAATTCTTTTTCCCTTCTCATCATTCATAGTCTGCACTGCCCGTGCCTGTAACAACCCTCATCGCCTGAGGGATAATGCTTTGGATTTCCATGCATCTCCTGCATGGACTGTGCTTAGAGGGGGCCACCGGTCAACTCCGGTTGGGATGCCTCTAACATCCTTAAAAGTTCCCCTCCCCTCGAAACAGCACAGTGCGCCTTGCGCAAACCCCAGTCCCATCGGGACCTTCAAAGTTGTCGGCTACTGGACGCCAGGCCAGACAACTAGGGTGGGTTGGGTGGGGAAAACCAAAAAGGTGTCTGCCAATTTGGCTCAGTCTTGATCCAAAATGGCAGACCCATAACAATTGATGATACATGTTCACCCACTGCCTGCCAAGCTCTAAACATGGCATACATCAATGTGTCACGTATCGTTCCTACTGCTAGGCTGCGACGCACCCCAATTCTTTTTCCCTTCTCATCATTCATAGTCTGCACTGCCCGTGCCTGTAACAACCCTCATCGCCTGAGGGATAATGCTTTGGATTTCCATGCATCTCCTGCATGGACTGTGCTTAGAGGGGGCCACCGGTCAACTCCGGTTGGGATGCCTCTAACATCCTTAAAAGTTCCCCAATGCACTTCATCAACTCCCAAAGCACTACAGAAAGCTCGTCACCGCGAGCACGGCACGAAATGGCAGCTTCCACATGATGGGGAAACAGAAAGCAGTAGACATTGAAAAATCATTTTGGCGGGCCCATGGGTCCTGCCATCCTAACCGAGAAATCGCATCAGACCAGTTGGATTTGGAAGGGATCCACTCCCAATACATCCAAACTTTCAGCCCAAACAAAACTGTGTGTATCACGTGGGACATTCGTTCCAGATCAGGCTCCCTGGATCTACCACGGATTAAACACATCAGGGCTGCGGTGTTATCGATGTACCACACTCCCCTCCGATTACGGAATGTATCCGGTCGGCAGAGGAGTGCGTACAACACCATGGACAGCTCCAATTGGGCAATCTTCCGGTCCCCCGGAGTCCACAACTGGTAAAGCTCAAGTGGGATGTCGGCTACAAAAGCTTCCCGTCGCTCGGCGAAGCCGTCGGCCCACACCATCAGGAAACCTCCCGTCCCCTGACGAGGGCTCTCAAGAGCCGCATCCGAAGCTATCACAAACCTCTCACACGGCACTGGTAAAACCTGAAGCACTCGGCGTGGCTGGGTAGCGAAAACTGCTTCTAGCAACTCAAGGCTCGCCTTGATAGGCTCAGTCAGCTCAGATGATCTCTCAGCCTGCCGCGTCTTGATGGAGCCCAATCCGCCGCATCCCACGCGGCCATAGACTCCCATCTCCAAGAAGTTAGCCAGGCCGTAGATCTTGGCCGCGAGGCCAGGTGCGAGTCTCCCCTCGTTCCTGACCTTCTGGATCATCCCGGACATCTTCTCGTGCAGCCGCTCCCGAGCCCAGAAAGACACCACGCCGTCGCGCAGCGCCTGAGATAGGTCGTGGTCAAGCCCCAAAAAGAGCCCTTGGGCTGCCATAGGCTGTCCTCGGAGAATGGCGTGCCCAGCAGCCGGTTCAGCTCTTCCAGTGCCCACTGGCCGGAACCACCGGCCGATCGCCAATCCGTGATGTGGGCGTCATCGAAGTAGAACGAAACCAGAAGGGCCAACAGTCGTCTGGCCAGCGCTTCCGCTAGCCTGGAGTACCGATTGAAACTGGTCACGCCCAACGGCAGGCCAAAGAGCAGCCCTGCGTACCGCTGAAACGCAGGCGCCCCCCAGCCCTGATGCCAAAAACAAACGATGCAACCCCTGGCCTCCTCACTGCTCATAGGAGAGTGGCGATAGGCATCTGGCCAATCCTCCCCGCCGGACTCCCACGAGTCACCCTCGCGGGCCGAGCGAAGTTGGCTCTCATCCATGCGTTGCATCACCGCTGCAATGTGCTGGGCTGGTCGCAACGGTGAACAGAGGACTAATTTATTGGCGTCCGATGAACGGAGGGATTGACCCCCTGTGTCTGCGTTGTCGATCACACGCTGTTTGCCTGAGGACTGTGTGATGACACACCTGGGTATGAGTCGGAACTCCTGCCCTTTGAGCTCCCGCTGCAGCTCGGACAGGGACATCGGGGCTGTGCAAAACCCCCGCTCAGCGTCCTTCTGCGACTGCTCCAGCAAGAAGGCATCATCCTTGCCCGGGCGCAAACTAGCTAGCACGAGCCGGTTGTTCTCGCCTGCCCCATCCAGGACCTCCTCAAAGGTGATCCTCCGCGCGTCTTGCTGGGGGAACACGCCGTAGTGGGGGGCATAGCCGACTGCTGGCAGGCCCACCACCAGGCCATGGGGGTATGATACGTCGGGCCACGCCAGCAATATCACCAACAGGCCCAGCAAGCCAATGTCCCTTTGTGCTGTCACTGCTTGGAGGGCTGGTGCCTGGAATTGCCTCAACTGATCATCCACTCGCTTCCATCTCTGCTTCAGTTCCTTGACGGCCCCGATGGCTCCACGTCGCATCTGGCGCAGGTCCCCCCTGCGTGCCGCCATGACGGAAGCCACAAACTGCAAATCCTCATCCATAACTTCTTCCTGCTCCAGTGGGGTTGGCGTCATCTTCATAGCCAAGGCCGCAGCGAAGTGGTCGTCCGGATTGGGTACACCGGAGATCAGCGGGGGCAGGGCTGCCTTGTGGCTCAACGCACCCGCTTGCTGCCCCTCCGCTGTGCGCGACCGGATGCGGACCCCCGCCGGGGCCGTGGCAGGGCCCAGGGGACCATCCCAATCCAGATGCTGCCCGTTCCGCCACTCCGCATAGTCGATGAAAGGAGACTGGTTGATAAGGTCCTCAATCATGGGGAAGCGGAAGCCCGTGAACCAGGGCTCAGGAAAGAGACCCAAGAAGCAGTTCACCACCGCCTCTTGCGTCCAACGCCTCCACGGCACCGCTCTGGCATCCACTCCTGGCAAACCGCCCCATGCCAGCAGGACTCCTCGTCCTGGCACTCGTCGGTTCTTCCGCCGTGCTGGCTGTGCGGCCGACTGCTGGACACACTCCTCAAAAACCAAGCCGGCCAAAATGTCAGCCTCGCACACCTCCTCAAAGCTGCAATCACAGGCCAGCCTCTTGCCCATCAGCTCTGGCAATCGCTCATTCAGGCCTGACTGGTGGACATACTGCACGAAACGTGGGATCCACTCGTCCCACGAGCAATCGTGTCCCGGCACCCACGGGCATCTCCAGTCGGACGTAGGGACTCGATGGCTGTGATGCCCTCGTCCAACGTAGACCACGTCCTCGGGTAGGGTACCATCTTCGTACAGCACCTCAAGGATCACCACTCGCCGAGGCACCGTGGCGCCCGATGCCAGCGGGGGCGGCTTGAGCCCGAGGCTCACCGCCATCGGTGCCATGGCCCATTCGCGTAGAGCCCGTCCATCGAACTCCAACCAGTGCTCCCGGCGACCTACCGTCTCAATCGCTGGCATCCGCGGGACCGTCAGGCGTGCCTTGCCGACCCTGGCAGCCCACCACGAAGCCGCCACCGCGATGCTGAACGCCAGCGCTGCCGTGTACTCCGCCTCGGCCTTGGACGGGTACCACCTGCCATCGGAACTCTCCTGTGGTTCCCACTCTCGGGGGTGGTGGGTATGGTGGCACATCAAAGGCGGCCACTCCTCGATCTCCTGGACGTTGTGTCTGAGGCACTGGAGTTTGCTCCTGGCTCCCGCAAACACGCATGCGGAATATTGCGTGTCCTTCCACAGCCCGGACTCCATCATCGCCTGCTCCTGGGGGAGGTACCAGTGCAAGCTCCTCCATGGGTTCTCCCGCACGGAGGCCCCCCCTCCTTCGGCGTGCTTCTGGAGCTGTGTGAGCATCCAGCTACATGCCGCGTTGTCTGTGTCCACCCGAGCCTGGTCCTTGATTGCCAGCCCTGGTAACCCCAGGGGCTGGTCTGCTGACCGGAGGGGCTGGGGTGCTGGTCGCCCGTCGTTGAACTTCCGCGGAATCTCCCTCGCCCGCGACTTGGTGGAACAGTCCATCGCGGCCGCAATGAAGTCGGTCTCCTCGAGCTGGCCTGCCAACGACTTTTGCCTCAGGGGGTTAGACAGGTCATGGGCGGGGTCCAGGAGCCAGTCCACGGAGACGGTGCGCCATCCACATCACAGGAAGGCTTTAGTCAACGGGAGATTCGGCCCACACATGAGGTCAGCCATCAAAGGTGGCTCGCCACCAGGCAGCGCTACCGCAGCGGACCCAGAGGATGCAGCTGCCACATCATCCTCCGGGCCCCATCAGGAGCCTTTCCCCTTCTTCCCAGCGCGACAGGTGGACGCTCCGTGGTTGCTGCCCCCACAGACGCGCTCCCCCCTGGTCACAAGGCCGCAGCGGTGAGCCCCCTGCTGACACTTGGTCGCCTTGCAATTGCCATGCTGGAATGCCTGGCACAGGGTGACTCCATCCTTCAGCACTTTTGCCACCGCCCGACCGCCAATCGGCTTACCCAGCTGGAATGGAAGAGGGACGTACTCGGGGTGCTGGTAGCCACTTTGCCCACAGCCGGAGTGGCCGGCGCGGCGCTCCCCTCGCCGGCACGCACCACCCAGTGCGGGTCCCGGGCCTCAAACACCTCCATGACCACCTTGCCCAGCGTCTTGGTGCTCTCGCGGAACTTGGTCACCCACTCAGTCCGTTCGGCCAGGTCCTGAGCCTGCAGCCATCCCAGCCGCTTGTGGTGCGGGAGCGACTGGAGCACCCGTCTGGCCCGGTAGTAGTAGGCCAAGAGGACATCGAGCGGGACCTGGACGAAGCTCGTGCTGTCGGCCCCCAGGACGGCCTCCCTAGCCGC